AACCACTAACAAATCCATACCGTTAAAAAGAGGATTCGACGATAGATGCCATGGCGAATCACCAACCGTAGATCGAAATCATAATCAACGGAAGAGGCGAGCCCTTGCCGTCGCATAGACGGCCAACCATGTAGTATTACCGGTATACCACCGGAGTCGGCAGACTCTGGCGCTAGTTTGTGAAATGAGCAGCATTCATTTTGGGCCTGGCTCTGGAGCAACCCGGAAAGGGAGACCGTTCCTGGTGACAGTGGTGACCTGTCGAGCCCGTGGTGTCGGGACTGCGGTGACGGTCGTTGGTTGTTGCAATAGGCCGCATGCCACAAGAATCAGTATTTGACTTGCATCGTCTAAGCGTCGCATTCTTGAGCAATGGCACATGCTGTCTCTGACAAGAAATTGAAGAAGGGCGCCAGGGTTGCAGAAAAGGTCGATGAGGATTGCCCACTTCAACCTGCATCATGTACTCTTATGAACCCGCATCCTCACCTTGTCAAAACTCCCTTTAATGAGGAACAAAAAGGCAGGGTTGCAAGGCTTAGTGGCCATCATGTCAGAGATGGACAGTCGGTGGGCTGAGAGTGTTGTGAGAACTGAAGAGGACATTTGGCCAGAGAAAGACATTCTCATGTGGGAATCTGTTGTGAGCTCTTATGAGCTTGTACTTCAGAGACGAAAAATCAAAGTAAGAAGGGCCTAGCTCTCAGGTTGAATCCTTCTTCTTTTTGTACCTCTCTCTCTGACAATGTTAAAGAGTTGCGTGCGCTTGGGTCACCTTTTGTCAATACATTGGAAAGATGTCTGTCAGAAAATTCGTTGGTGCAGTAACAATACTCTTTCCTGTCTACTTTTCTTGTATACTTCACTATTGCGCATGCCTAAAGGAGGGGCCACAGGTGCAGCTATCCTGTTCCTGATCAGCATCCGATAACCTTGGGATTAATTGGCGCATCATGCAAGAGAAAGCTGAATTTTAGAGACCAAAAACGTCAGCAGAGTCTTTATTCTCTCACTTTAATATGTTGCTCCAATCTCTGTCAGAACAGCACTTGCTTTTGGCATCTCAGATCAAGCCAGTCACGCGGAAGGAACGGCTTCGGATACTGCGGCAATGCCACAAGTTCTACACGGCAGACTACGGTCCTTTCGATCAGATGCAGCTGGAGCGACTCGTTCACGAAAGCTGCCAGGCCATTTACGAGGAGCGCAAGTACGTGCTTCAGGAGGCAGTCAATAAAACCAAGGCGCTGCTAGCCTTAGTAGAGTTTTGCCAACTCTGCAGAAAGCACAACGTAGGGTTCCGACATTGTGGCAGGTGAGCTGCACAAGATCGCTTCTGCAGCATATGCTTTCTGCTTGAGGACGTTCGTCTCCCAATGGGTGTGGTAGCTTGGAGTGAGATTTAATGATGGTGTGGACGGTACTGCTTCAGACAGGTTGCCCCTCGAGATCTCATTGCTGTTTTTGCTTTGCAGTGAAAGTCCTCTTCCTAGGCTCAGCTTCCAAGAGACCTTTTATGTCTTGACCAACTAATCAATCTTCTTCCTTTGCGCTTGTTTGGGTCAAAGGGGATCTTTTTTCGTGCTTGAGTTTCTTGCCTTCTAGCTGAAGTCGACATTCACCATCCTTTGATCTCCTTCTGGTGTAACTTTTGTCGCTTGACATTTGGCTCACTGTTTCGTTGAGAGCCCTGGGTAGGAGCAACAGCGTTGCAGATTGTCCATCAGAACCTTGTGTTGACGACAACTTTTTGAACCTACTCAGCAATTCGTCCATGATATCCAGAAGGTGCTGGTTGGTTGTAAAGGGTGTATATCTGAGGGGTTTGATTCCCTTGCGCATGCCAAATTGAATTATTTGAGGCGACTGAGTGGCTTCGTAATGTGATTTGGTTGCTCAAGGTAAGAGCTCTGCTTTGCAATACGTAACGCTCAACAAAAACAAGCATTTGGGACAAAACTATTTGTTTTGTGGTGTCTACTCATTTTATTGCATGAAAGCCAGTCCTGAACTCTAGGATTCACTCCATTCTTTTGCCATGCAGATGTAAAGCTGTGAAATATTGTAGTGAAATGTGTCAGAAGGAAGATTGGAACAGGGAGCGAGGACATAGGGCTGTATGTAATGCCATTCAAAGGGGTGACCTAAGACCAGAGAATGTCCTACGGTTGAAAATAAACAGCATAACACCGGCGCATGCCGCTAATGCTCTTGTTCCTATGTACTGGGTTACTTATACGGCCGTTCGAGAGAGTTAAAGAAGCTGCGGGTTTAAGATTGCACCGGATTGTCAGTAAGTCACTGCACCAGGTTGCCACTTGCAACCACTACCGGTTGATCCCTGTTATCGCCTGATATGCGCCCTTTAAATGCACAGTACCGGTATGCTACTACTACCACAGAGTATGGGCGCCTAGGTATACATCATTCTTGTAACCTCTTGTAGATCCAAGCGGTAATAAAGCTGTCGATCCCTGCTCGATGCGGAGCTGCTTGTGCAGTCTCTGCGGCTGACAGCTAGAACAGCTAGCTGACAACTCTGCCTTTCCGCAGCCCAATATGATTGACATGCGCATGGCGTCGGCAGCTACCTGAATACGTTCATCCTCATACCGATAATTTGATCGTTAGGACAGGACTGAAGGCAGAGATCCAAGAATTCAAAAATCCAAATTGAATAGCACGTTATAAAGTTGATACTGATCAAACAACTGTAGTCTGTGTAAGTCAAGGTTGCTATCTTGTCATTCAGATACCTGGTTTTTGAACTTAATCCGACCATGCACTCATATGCTCAATCTAGAAAATTATCTCAACTCTTTAGTATCCCGCCAATCAATGTAATCAGAGCATACCTTGGAGTCCCACCGCGTCTCCTTGCAAGCACCAAGTAGTGCATGTACAGCGCTCCGCTCCGCTCCGCTACCTTCTAATGTACTGACGCCGTCACCTCTCTTCTTTCACATCCCGTCTAAGCAGCAAGTTCAGAGCCCTCGCGGCAACCCGCTGCATCACCCCCCGGCCCACATCTCCGATCATCTGCGCGCCCCCCGGGGTGTTCATCAACCGCTGTATCTGCGGGCCGACCTTTTCTATCTGCTGCCGCAATTCAGCCGCACTGTCCGGTATCGTCCTCGCTAGCCTCCCCGCCACCTCTAGAGGGTTCTCATTTTCGGGCTGCGCCACAACCGCCCCGAAATTTGCGCTAGGTGTTCGCATGCTGACTGCCTGACCCAAAACTTGTGCCCGGTTGTACGCTTCTCTATCGGCGAGTTTCATGGGTAACCACCGGTCGGTCAGGTCTTCGGCTTCGCTCGGGGCGAGCCGAGCGACGAAACCCGCGACAGCTGTCGCGGCCCGCCGGGTGGTGTGGTAGCCGAACGCGTCGATCAGGCGAACAATCTCCTTCGATAGCGGCTGTCGAATCGTGTCCGCCTGCGGAAAGAAGCTAATTGTAGCTCAGGGTTATCATCGAATTGAGGTAATAAGATGTTGTATACCCGACCTTAGGCATGGCAAGTACACCACGAAACCCTTCTTCAGGCATAGAGTGCTACCAGAAGGAAGGAAGAACGATCATTGATAAGAGAAGCGTCGCGTTATCTTACATGTCATTCGTGAGGCAAAGTCTGATGCGGGACGTCACATTTCTACAAGCGCAACACCCAATCCTCCATGGTTCTACGACAACAAAGTCTCCTCGATTACGTGGTCAACGAGCTAATCTCGGTCGGTTCAACCTCAACCGAAAAGTTGGCAGAACTCCAGTGGCTTACAGTGAAAAGAACGACGTGCATCCACAAGCTGCATCATTGACACACAGCCCTTTCTTACATTTCACGCCGACGCCAAAGCATACGTCTTTTTGTCTCTTTTCTTAAAGTACCTCAAAAGTCGGTGCGCGTTTTCCTACCTGCTTCAAGACGAGCCAGTCGAGCAGCATCCAGGGCTGCGCGTCGCTTCCAAAAAGTACCCGTAACAAATCAACACCAAAGCGCTACAGACAAAGGAACAAATCCACGATCATTGAGTACATTCACCTGCTCGGAAACAAGCCAGTCGAGCAGCATCCAGAGCTGCGCGTCGTCGAAGCCCTGGCTCTTGCGCCCCTCGCGCATCAGGTTCTCCAGGCGGTTCCACCGGAACTTGCCGTCCTTCAGCAGCAGCTCCTCCAGCGCCTGCCGCAGCTCGGGGGACGGGTCCGTCAGCAGGCGGCGGGCCACGTACGGGTACGCCTTACCCAGCAGCTGAAAGAAAAGAAAACAGGGGCAGTCAAGAAACGAACGTTTTGGAAGGTTTGGACGACTAGAAAAGTCCAGTACAGGATTGTAAGGGATCCGTCAGCAGGCGGCGCGCCACATACGGGTACGCCTTACACAGTGTCTGCGAAAACAAGAGGGATAAATCATTCTGTTGAGGATGAGTTTTTCCGAATCAGTGGGTTTTTATCTTTGCGGCAGATCAGGGGACGGGTCGGTAAGTTGGCGGCGTGCGACTATGGGTACGCCTTTCCCAGCAGCTGCGGATAAAAGAGGGATAAGCGCTTAAGAGAACGTTTTGAGGATGAGCATTTTGGATCAGTGGGTATTGTTTTTGCCGCAGCCCAGGGGACGGGTCCGTCAGTAAGCGGCGTGCCACGTATGGGTACGCCTTACCCAGCAGCTGTGGTCGGAAACAGAGGCGGAGTAAAATTCCCTTTTTCAGGTCCAAGTCGCGGCGACTTTTAAGGGGGCACCTCCTCTGCCTACAGGGGCCTTCCTGACCAAAGCGGAAGTTTGCCTCTATTCGTCCGCGAGATGCTAGGAATCCAGCACCGCTCTAGTTCGCGCTCAACAGCTGAAAGAAGGAACGTTCAAGGCTCCGCTAAAACGACCGTCGAAATTGTACTAGGGGTTGAGAAGCAGCGTGCTAACACAAGGAAGGCGGCTGTACTACATTGGAACTAGGTATAGTGGAGCCGGTCAAGTTCACGTCCATTATTGAAATATCGCTTGTGCCAGCCTTTAGAGCTGCCAAGAGACCGACATTACTGGTCCCTGATCTGCACTCGGCTCGAAATTTGAACCCCCAGCATCTTGAGTTCAGATCCCCCCCACCCCCACCTTGATAGTTCTCAAGTAAGATAATATTAAGCCAAGATAATAACAATGAGCTCCGACTAACACCAAAAAGCATAACCCGAAAAGATAACTGCTCCGCACCCATACCCACCTAACCAACAAATTAACCCTAACCGCCCCAGTGCGACTACCTTAATACTATCTCGGCTTAGCATTATCTTTCATGAGTTCAATCTCACCTTGTAATTCGGATCGCTGTATAGCGCCAGTCCCTCCAGCACTGACAGCGAGCGGAGGATGAGCGCATAGTACGCGGGCACGTTGAACGGGAACTCGTAGAGAACGGCCCCCAGTCCGTCGACGATGCTCTTGAAGTTGAGCTCCGAGACGGACTTGTCCAGCACCGTGTCGAAGAAGCCGGCAAGGGCGGGCACGATAGGCGCCACGTCAACGTTCTGCGGGTGGGTTAAGAGGGAGGGGGTTACCAAAACAAAGAAATAAGTTGCACAGGAAACTACTGTTTTGCGGGTGAAAATTTCAGGGGGCTTAAACAGGAGTGAGTTGAGGTATATTCCATTCAGCGTTTAGGTCTAAGAGTTGCTAGGTAAGTGTTGCCCAAGTAAGACTCAAAAATACAAAAGTCCCCGGCTTCATTTATGCGAGTCGGAGGCAGTTGAATAACGGTTTCACCGTAGACTGCCCCAGTGTCTATTCCTGAAAGAGCCGTCCCACCAAGCCTAGTGCGACTGCACCGCCGTCAACGAATGAACGCGAACTTTCTTGGAGAGTGATCTGCCAAACCAGGATACACACTCGCAGCACGTTCTCGTCAGCACTTGCTCGACCTTCGTAAGGTTCTTTGAGAAACAACACTTTTTCTTTTTCTTTTTTTGGTTCCTCTACTGAGATTCTCTTCTTCCTTTCTTTCTTCTTGGAGATACAAGAAATCTTAGAAGAAACAAACGCTTCGAGCCCAGGACGGGCGCGTTCTCACCGGCGCCAGGAAGTCTAGCTTGTAGTAGTCGGTGGCCATGGCTGCGTAGTCGCGATTCACCAGGTGCGCAATGTGCTCCATGATCCCGTAGCGTGCGGACTGTGGCGCTTCGCTCATCATGCCGAAATCCAGATAGACGAGCTCGCCGCTGGAGCTCGCCAGCAGATTGCCTGCATATGACGGGCGATCGCGATGATTGGAAAGCTATTCAGCTAACAAGCGATCGCAATGATTCGAAAAAGCTACCTAGTTGTATAGTACGAGCATCTGACCCTGACGGAGATCGTCAAGGTCTGAAACAGCATACGCACCAGAGACAGTTCACGAAGTTCTGCCCGGCATTGGGTATACGATTCAAGATGCTGCAAAACATAAGACTTCCCTGTTCAGATTGACGTCGAAGACATTGTCCATCGATGTGTTCTTTCACCAGTCTATTTCAAGAACATATTCAGCATCTTGGCGAAGACAGTGGGCAATTCGACTCCAAGCGGAAAAGCCGTGCTCTGCCCGCTTGAAGCCACAGCTTGAGGACCCGCTACCACACGATGCTGTCGTCATTAGCAGGAACCCTTGACGTCGTAGCCTTTGCCTCTTCCCGACTGTGGTCTGCGTACAGGTATGCTTACCCGCAAAAGAACCAGTTTCTTCTCGCAACTCGGATTTTCAACGGTAAACGTCGCACGAGCATGCTGAAGTTAACAAAGAGCATACTGACGTCAGCCAAAGCGTTCGCACCTGGGTGGGGGTCCGCATGGAAGTACCCATGCTCCAACAGCTGCCGCAAGCTGCACTCGATCCCGACATCCACGAAATCCGTTACCGCTAACCCGCGCGCCGCCATCCCCACTTCGTCGGTTAGCTTAACCCCGTCGATCCACTCCATAACCAACACTCTCCTCGACACGTACTCCCAATGTATCCGCGGAACCTTGACACGTGGCAGCCCCCCGTAGAGCGCCTGGAAGCGCTCCGCGTTGTGCCCTTCCGCCACGTAGTCAAGCTCGCCGAATAGCCGCTTTGCAAACTCGTCCACGAGGGGAACTAAATCGGTGGTCAAAATCTCGGTCTTCTGGTCGAGCCACGTGGCGGCTTTCCGGACCAGGAACATGTCGAGCGCGATGCTGTCGCCAATGCTCGGGCGCTGCACTTTGACGGCGACGACTTCGCCGGTGGCGCGCAGGCGGGCCTTGTAGACTTGGCCCAGGCTAGCCGCCGCGACGGGCGCGGGCGAGATCTCGCTGAAAATATCCTCCACCTGGGAAAAAGGGACTCCGTTCCGGATGTTTTCAACAATTTCTATGGTTCCTATGTTTCTACAAGAAGAGCGTCGGGTCAGAAACGCGCTAGTGGCATCCGGGTCTTGAGATTCCTCGATGGACGGCTCGTCATGCCTCTGACATTCTGTCTTTACCACTGATCTGGTGATTGCGTAAGCGAAATCTCGCTCAAGATGTCCTCCGCCTAGAGAATAGGGCTCCTTTTCAGTCACGTTTGAGTGTCTTTCTAAGAATCCTGGAAGGCTTTCCTGAGACGGTGCTCAGGGGTTTGTCAACTTTTCAGAGGTTTTGTGGAGCTCTCGACATTTGGTAGACTTGGCCCAGGCTGGCCGCCGCGACCGGCGCGGGCGAGATCTCGCTGAAGGTGTCCTCAACCTGACACAAATGGACTGTGTTTTGGATCTTCTAGAGTTCTTTAGAAAGGGCGTCGCATTGGAACACGCGCTAGTGGCATTGAGTTGTAGGGAGTCTCTCATCGGACGAATCGCCTTCGCCACTACCCTGGCAATTGCGTGAGCGAGATCTCGGTGAAAACGTTTTTAACGTGATCAGAAGGAGCTCTTTCAAGATGTTTGTGAACTTCTTTGACGATCCTGAAAGACTTTCCTAAGACTGAGCTCAAAATTTTGTCAACTTTTAGAAAACCTGGAGCTCCACAGATGACAAATCCGAAGCGAGAGGGCGGAAGGGAAAAGGGGAAGGAAGAGCGGTAAGCAGGTTCTGTCTCTAGTTGATAAGGCAATCAGTAAACTCCTCAAGGATTGTTCGTAAAAGCAGAGGAGGTTTCTTGACATCGACTGTGTTCAGGTTGCAGATGCGCTTGAAGTTGGCTCCAACAGAAACATTCGAAGAACTTTGTCAAGCAGAGAGGGTTAACAACGTCCGGAAAGCTCTCTACGTAATTGCTTAATCCCTCCAAATAAAATATCTCAGATGAAACTCCTAGAGGAGGGAAAATTCTGAGGGCTAACAGAAACGACGATCGAGAAAAACATATGAGACAGGGAAAAGGAAAGCCACGTACATCAGGAACGACTTCGATCAGTCGAGGACGTCGAGAAGCGACAAGGGAAGCTCACCCTTCGTTCAAGCTCCTGTTCGATGAGCGCAAACGCTATCCGCGTGGGGAAGGAGGGTATCCGATCTTGCAATTCTGAAAACTCCTCCAGGTACTCGGGGGGGCAGATGTCGGGGCGGGCCGACAGCGACTGCCCGACCTGAAATCCGAAAAGGTTCAAACACATGTTTTCTTCATACACGAGGAGCCAGTAGGGCGAAGAACAGTGTCAGATGTACATGACTCGCTGAGTCGGACAACTGTAAGACTGACGAAGGCAAGAGGAGAGGGTGAATTCTGTTAAGGCGGACCTGAACAGTGACCTCGTTGGCCATGCAGAAAGGTCGGTTCCTGGGACTGCTCGTGTATCGGAAGGACTTTGTGAAAAACTTTTACCTGTGGCTTGGACAGTAGAAGTCGTGGAGCAGGATGCGGCAAATGAGCGGTACATTCCCCATAATAGACTACTGTTCGTCCTTCCAAGCTCTCCAAGATGCAACCAACTAACCTTTGTTAGTGCAGACTGCGCAACAGCATTCGCAAATCTGGGTGCGCAAGGTCGCAATTCGTACTGCCCCTCACCTTGACAAAAGACGGTCCCAGCTCTGTCAACGCCTTGCGCAGGTTTCGGGCTCGTAACCGCGCGTTCTTCTTCAGGTTGCCAGTCTGCAGAGCCAAGTATGTGTCATCCGGCGAGAGGCACGAAGAGGTCGAGTTTTCAGATTCAAACGTTCTCCATGATCAGTGGCGGTGCAAATAGAACACCCGGGCAACCGAGGTGGTGGGAAAGTAAAAGGAAAGGTAAGTTGAAAGGGTGCAGATTAGAAACTCGAGACCTCCCCTTTGCAACTTTCCGCCCCAGAATTCTCCCCTTTTTGCTTTCTGAAGGGACTCGAAATCGTTGCGTGAGAGCATGGCGTCAGAGATGGCGTCAGAAAATATGAGTTTGAGGGCCCCTGACCAAGAACTGCGGGGAGTGCAGAAGCTGGGCTTGCCTCCTCTGGCCTTTTGAAAAAGCACACTTAACCAGTAAAGATGTCAGAAGCAGAGTCATGATGGATTGCAGCTTGTCAGAAATAGCTTCGCTCGTATTCTCCATCTGACTCTTAAATCTAGTGGGACTTCGAACCTTGACCCTGGAAAGTCGGATGTCCCTTGTAATGCACAGCATGAATGGATCCTTCAAGATCCCAAAAGTTGGTCAACCCTTGCCTTTCCAGCTTGAAGTGCCTCTCTGCAGAACCGACCTTTTCTCTTCCTCCATACTTCCCAGACCCTGTCAAGCTCCAACATCATTCACTCATTGAGCATTAAAAGGCAAGGGTTGACAGACTTTTGAGTTTATGAAGGCTTTCAACAAGTGCCTACTGTTCTTTAACAAACTAGAGCCGGAGAAATCAGTCCCACCTGCTTGTCCAGGAGGATGGCGCTTGCAAACTGTGTCAGCACAGTCACGATCTTGAGGGCCCTTGCGCTGACTTGGCCCGGTTTTTCCGCCATGACTCGCGCTAGTTTCTCTGGGTCGTATCTGTGGGAACAGCCGGATTGCTTCGTCAACCAGGGGCTTGACTGGTGTGGGGTTTCACACCGCTCTGATCAATGACGAAATTACCAGACTTCTTCATATACTCCAGGAACAGAACCCTTGAGGACTCGAGTAGATTCTATTGTCCCACATTGTTGTAAACCTCGAAACAGTCAACTGTTCAAACAGAATGTCCGACTGCAGCTGATTGCCTTACAGAGGGCGACGACCTCACAACAGACATTGTGAGCTAGCTACAAGTGAGACCAAGAGTATATTGAACAATACATTGAAGCAAACCCCAGACTCTTTTATATTTATGCACATCACTTTCAAGTTAGTCATTGAGTGATAATTCTGCACGCATTATTGTACTCATCAAAGTTACAACTGCGCATTCCTCCCCCATCAGTTTTGAAGAGCTCTACAAGGATGATTGTTCAGGGGAGACAGTGAAGAAAGGATAGAAATGCACCGTCAAAAAGTTTCTAGCAGACTTTAATGTGACGAACTTACTCTTTCATTATCTCCCAGTTGGCCTCGCTGTTCAGCTCCAATGCGTTCACCCAATCATTCAGCCCCTTCTCCCCTCCCGGCCAACCCCTTTTCCAGTCCCCCAAACCCTCAGCCAGCCTGTCATCGCTTATTCTCGCCTTTTCCTTTGTCCGCACTAGTTCTTGCCTCTGAATCTGATTCAACTCTGCCTGCTGATACTTCTGTTTCTGTCTACTTATAGACCTCATGGCCTTGGCTAAAGATGGTCGCATCGGCGTGGCATTTGAAGTGTCATTTGAAGGCGCCCCAGGGGGCGCCGACGTCACAGCTCGTACTGTGACATCAGACCGTCTGGAAAATCCTTGGGAATAAGGCGAAGTGGTGGCAGATAGTCTTAAAAGTTGCCCAACGCTATCGGTGCTTTGCAAGTACTTTCTAAAAGGATAGGGCTTGTTGAGTGAGCTCAAGCACCGCTCAATGCTCTGACGATTGGGAATCGTAAGCGATTGCACCTCTGCCCCTTGCAAGAAGCCTGAGGTACAAGCCATCATTTTGAGCTTCTTCTGGCTCTGGTGGAGATTTCAATGGCTTGCACGCATCTTTGGAAAGACCACCAACCGCTCTTGAAACTCAAGAAACTAGATTTCTATCTGAAGCAATAGCTATTGAAATGCGCCATCAACTGGGCCAACAGCCTCTGACTGGCGTATCGCAACCGCAGGCTGCCCAATGATGCCTAGCGTCTGGTCGAGTGCGATGCCAGTAGAGTGCCCTTGTCTACTGAAAACTCAGGCTTTGCTTTGAAGGGAAGCCAATGGCAAAGCAGCATCCACTTTGCAGAGCTCTCTGGCAAAATTGGTCAGCACCATTTTGCTTTTCTGATTTTCAGTTTGTGATTTCTCCCCTTCATGATCAGGTGATCTGAAGCCACGTCATTGTACTGCGAAACGTGAACCGTCGATGAGTTCTTCCGAGATTCTTCGGAGCGCAATTGTATCCGTCCGATGATATATGTACATCATCAACGGCCTCTAATGAAGCCAGGAAATGCAGCTTACCTATCACAGTATCAGGCTACCTTGCTTCACCGTCACGGTCACCTTCCTGAGTTCCTCTTCCAACTACCTACACCGGTGGCTTGTCTTCGCCCATTCCACATGGGCCACAGGGTGTCAGGTGACATGGAGACCCCGATTACCGTGACAGTTCTACATTCTCTTTGAACTTTGAATGCCGTGATGGCATTGACCGTTGATTGGGCAGGAGCAAGCAGGACAGAGACTCTCTCTTAACTGAGAACAACGATGCAATGGAGGGCTTAGCTGCAACCACGTCATTGACACAAGAACAGATTGGTAAGCGCTTGCTGAAGTTATTCAGCCCTGATCGTTTTGGTCGGTGTGATTGCGCTTCAGCAATCGGCGACTTCTGCTTTTTCTCAGGCGCACAATTGCCCTGAATACTTTTGAGAAACCAATTGGGGGAAACATGACAGCTGGCACTTTTTGAGTATTATGGTTGTGCGATGGGCATGTGGTGGAACATTTATTTGTCAAATTCTCATTTCCAAGGTCTGAAAGGCGGCCCAGAATCAAAGTGATGTGTGTTACAGCATCGTGTCTTGCATTTGTGATGTGGGCCCCCTGCTGACACCTGTTGAAAACTGCCACCTGTCAGGCCCTTTCTCTCGCCACTGGCTCTGACTTATACGTGCTCCAATCATAGGGCCACTAGAGACACACGCTGTCTTTGGCTCCATCACACTCTCCCTCAGCAACTGATATTGTCATTCCAATTGCAGGTCTTAAAGGCAGACTTCTTGTTGCTGCTCCTTCCAGGGATGGCACTCTCTGATCTCATCTTGGTGCTTTTGCATCCTTTGCAGACCGTATAGCTCGCAACAAAGCGGCTGCTCTTGCCCGGCTTGCGAAGGCCCGGGGGCTCGTTGCGTGGGCGGCACAAGCCTCCCTCCCACAAACCGCGACCGCAGCAACCACACACTTGCCTGATCAGAGGGCCCATGTTCTCCCCACTGCTCAACTGCAAGTTAGCCCGCAAGGAGAAGACCGCACCCAGGTCTTAGCAACGAAGAGGGGCCAGTACCTGAGTTTTGGACTGGGAAACACAGCCAAAAATGTCAATGGACTTGATTGCGGGGACAATTACACGGCTTTCCCCCCAGGACATGGTGCCCAAACAGCTGACGGCTTGCGGCTCTGCGAAACTTTGACCCCCTGCGCTTTTAGAAAGTCTTTGGCAGAGCCCCCTCACATGACCCTGAACAGCCTGGCGGCGCAGGCAGCGTCATTAGAGGTTAGAAATGATGGCCCGCCTCTCACAGGGGTCTCGGGAGGTGACGCATTGTTGGGCCCTGAACGGCCCATCCCTGTTGGGGCAGCAAACAGTGCTCTAGAGGCTTTTGCAACTGCGGGGCTTGCGGCGAGGGGCGTCAGCGAGGGAGCCGCTTCTTTAGGTGTGGATGGGGCCCCTGCCAATGGCAGCAGAACAGACGGTAGGAGTATCTTTGATGTCGTCGAAAACAGGGAGGCTGAGAAGACAGGGAGCATAAAAGTGGGGGAAGGAGGGGGCCAAGCGAGCCCAGAGGCTGCAAAACGAGCCAGCAGGAAGGGGCCGTTCTTGCGATGGCCTCGGCAGGTGAGGCCCACCTCTTGTGAAGTGGAAAGTGGCAGATAATGCTGTATCCGCCTTCTAGTGGATTCTTTTGTTAGTTAATCCGCTTCTTGCCTTGACGGCCCAATGACGTCCTGCTCAATAAAATCTTGAAGCCCCCTTTCTCATTCCTCCTGTTCCCTCTTATTGTGTTGCCTCTGACGTGTTGGAACATCTTTCATCTTGCGTACCTGGATGAAACGTAAGTCAGCTGCACGTCATCAGTGGCTTCAAGCCACCACTTTAGACGTGTAAATCCAGTTCTCGACCACGCCGAGTATCCTTTTGAGGCAGTATTTGTCAAGCGTCCAAAAAACTCGAGAGATGATGAATCTTTACATGCTCTTGCAGGTCTTTGACTACTTTCTGGTGATCGACTTCGAGTGCACCTGCGACAATGTAACAACGATAGGTGAGATGTTCTGGTCTTTTCGAAGACCTTGCAGTTTGACTTCGATGGGGGTAAGAATCAATATGCATCGATGCGTTTTGTCGTAGAGATGCCGTGGTGTTTGTGCTGAGGCCCGCCAACGTCTATTCTATCGAAGAGTCTCTCATATTTGAAGAAGAAGTCCTCTTCCTCTGCACGATCAGGCACAAACGGCCGATTTACATCATTAGAGTTGACTGAGCATACCCTCTTTAACCTCGTCCAAATAAGAGTACTCTTCGAAAGCAATCAGCTGGCCCTGGGTTTCTGAAACAAGTGGGCCTCTGTTGCATATTGGAGCCCTTTTCTAAACGTCGAATGAATTTCTGGTGATATGTCGAGCCGTTTAACGGAATACCTGCCCATCGTTCTCACTACTACTTAGACTCTCCTTCCCAGCTCTGTTTACTTCAGTCCCTCTTTAAGCGGACAGTCTCCTCCCTTGGATACGCAACATGCCTAATCTTTCCCACCTCCTTGCTTCTTGCCTCTGAGCCCCGCTCGTTGCTCTACTCGCAGAATCGCAGGAGATCATCGAGTTCCCGTCCGTGCTCCTGAACGCGCGCACGCTCCGCATCGAGGACTCCTTTCGCGTGTTCTGCCGTCCGGAGGTCCACTCTACGCTGACGCCCTTTTGCACTCGCTTCACGGGCATCCGGCAAGAGCAGGTCCGTCGTGCTGAGACTTGTGTGCTTTTAGCCTCTTCCTCGTTTGTAACTTCGTTCTGCTCGTTCGTTACTTCCTGTTGCGACCAGAGTAGAAGGTTGTTCCGCTGGTTCCGGACTGGTTCCGTCCACTGACAGTGCGATAATCATTTCAAGGCCGGAGCAGTTGGCACGTTTGTAGAGACAGGGACTTTCTACAGCCTGCATGAGCCTGTCGACACCCAGAGGCACACTCTCCGTCCTGTTCACCTTTTCAAATGCCACGTGATTATAAAATGTACTGGAGCCTGTTTGAGACGTTCCCTGCGTGCTCACGATAAGGTCAAACCAAAGCTAGACCCGGCAATAGATGGTTCGAACCTTTTCCGCTCGCTGCTCGCGCGTATACTCTGGTCTTTTATGATGAACTTGACTTCTAGTTCAACTTCCTCGCTGCTTTCAGGTTGATTCGGGGCTGAGTCTGCGGGAGGCCCTTCAGGAGCACGACACGTGGCTCAGAAGCAAGAACCTCCTGGATAAGCCCAACCGCTTCGCTGTCGTCACGTGGACTGACTGGGACTGCAAGGTGACGGCCATGTCGAATTACTTCTTCTCAATCAGCCTTCCGACTATCTACGCTAGGTTCTTCTAAATCTGCTGCTCTAATGCCGTGAGCATCTCAGCCGAGTGCTCTCTGGATATGACATATTTCTGTCCCAAGCGGTTACCTCAGGAGTTCGAAACAGCTCTTTCAAAGAAGATGATCATGAAGAATTTTGTCCGGAAAAAGGGCGGAGTTCATGTCTGGACACGTCCGCTTAGCGTGGGCTCCTGACTTGAAATCTCATGTCGAATGGTGACGAACGGGAAACGTCTGTTGGGCAGGGTCGTTAGTCATGTGGCGGCTCCGCCACGTGTCCGTAGGCAAGGACGCCGCCCCCATCTTTGCAGGTGATGTTGGAAATGGAATGCAAATGGAAGCGGATACAGAAGCCGGCGTACTTCAACCAGTGAGTTCCCCGACTACCGTTTTCGACTCTTCAGTATTTCTAGGTTGACGAGCTCATTCTGCCTGGCAACACGCAGAAGCGCGCAGACAACTTTACTCTCGTTCGCAACTTTGTAATCACAAGTCAGCGTAGTCGAGCTCTGGTTGAATGTGTTTGGTGGTGCTCAATGCCGACACAGATGCTCGAAGCAGCACGAAGCTTTTTCTCTGCAGCCTTGATGCACTGTGCCAATCGAAAGTCGTGTCCAGTCCCATCCCTTTTCCTTTTTCGCCCTTCTCTTCTTGTAGCAAAAGGCATCGGTCAACAATCGCTGTGCGTCGTCGTTAGCGCCGGTTTGCTCCTTCCCTGTTGAGAAGCATCTTTCCGCCGAGAAAGTCTGTGAGCGTGCTCAGCCGCCTCTGATATACTGCGATAAAACGATTTGATCTGTTTCATTCTCCGCAGATGGGTCAATCTGAAGCACCCGTTCGCAAAGGTCTTCCCCAAAGCGAAGGGCACGTGTCACGGCCTGAGGGGCCACGTGACATATGCCGGCGTCACGTGGGAGGGCCGCGAGCACTCGGGACTGGATGACGCCACCAACACCGCGCGACTAGCCGCGGCGCTGATCCGGCAAGGGGGCCTGCTAAGCATCACCGATTCTTTCAAGATATACGCTGCTGACGGGAGCAAGATTGAACGGGTCTTGAAGAAGCGGCCGTTGGTTCAGGCGGACAGTAACGCTCGGGGGAAAGAACCGGGGAAGGGGTCGGGGGAGAGGTGCCACTGCGGGGTGAAGAGGAAAAAGCGGACGGTGAAGAAGCCCGGCCCGACGCACGGGCAGGCGTTCTACTCTTGCGGGAAGTGGACAATCACGGGAGGGGGTTGCTGTGATTATTTTGAGTGGATGCACGATGAAAAAGTTGGGGGACGAGGGAAGGATTAGTGAATCGCAGATTCAGGTGCGGCTCGTTGAGATCACCACGTTCAATGTCATATTGAATGCCGATCCCGGTCTTCGAGCTTAGAGATCGAGATTTTATCAAATTGGATCCCGTTGTGGGGCGAGGAAAAATGAAAGTTTCTCCCTTCAGAACAGTTGCAAGCGTGAATTATGTCTACAGCTAGACTAAGATGATGATCCGGAGGCGAGATTGGGCCGCATATCTAGGATTTTAAGGTTGAAGTCGGACTTTTGTTTCGAATTTCTAGTGAATGTTCGTTTACTGGCCCAGTCATGGCTTTGCAATGATGTGCATGCGTGTGCGGCTGCCACTCTTAATCAGGTGCGATACAGGCGACGGACTCGAAAAGTCGCCAATAGGACGTGGCCTACTCTTTACACCAGTTTCGACGGTGACCGCACGTGTATAATATGGCGGCCGCCCATGTGATACAACGTGTCCGGTCGCTCGCTGTGATCGTCATGTATCTAAGAACGATAAGAAATTTTGGAATGTATGTTTGTACGTGCGCTTCTGGTCAAATCCGATCGATCCGATGTCCGACGAGCCTCCGTGTATAATTAACGGCTCCAACTTGTTTGTATCGATAAGCAGAGGATTGTATTGAACCGCCATGCATGCAATGATGCAGTTAAATGATATGCTCTTATAGAAGAGAAAAGGTGCCGCCCTTGATCTAGCTAGAAGTATGCCGCAAGGGCATGCACGGTGGATGAATCCGGCCAACGGAGTGTATTGCATCCTGAAAATCGCCTTTGCACTTGATAAGCTGGGTGAGAATTATGCTGAGCAACTATATCGCAGAGATGTTGTCCACTATATAATCCTGACAGAGCTGCCTGTCTGCCTCTTTGTGAAGGGAAGAAAGACACCTAGTGTGCCCTCGTCTTGCAGGGATTTCAAGCTGCCCCGGCCAGCCTGGCTTGTGTCAATAGGCGGCGGCCGCCTATTAACAATTGACTTCAACGCCTTCGATCTCCTCCTTTTTTGGATTTGGGCCGTTAGATGCCGAATCGGACCAATCGGATGGCCTAGATACTTCTGTGTGAGGCGGCTTGGTCTACAGAATGCGCGGCATCAGAGGGCAGGTCGAGGGCAGGTTGAGGGCAGATTGTAGATTACATTGCAAGCCGTTTCATTATGCTTCTTCTTCGCCTTTGCACATCTTAGCTCACGGCCCGGCCCGGCCCTTCTGTAAAGCATTATTTTGCCTCCTGTAAAGTGAGGCCACCCTCTATCCTTCTGATGGCCGCACGAAGACAAGGCGCCTAGGAGTGTCAGCTTCGCTGCGACAGAAAGAGTTTGTGAAGAGAAGCTACACCATGAACCATAGACGCACTTTGAGCAGAGAGCCGCTGACTACTGATCCATTTGATGCTGAATGCAGCGTCGAGGCGGAGAAAAATCTAAATTGTGACGACTTGAGAAGAGTGATCAGGGGTCTGCTTCAAGAAGAGACTCGATTCGTTCAGGTGCGTCGAGCTACCATCCTCAATGCAGGTATAAGATAATTCCTTCCATATCTGTTGCACAAGCAACTTGTCGCAAGGAGACATCAGCTGACCTCTTCTCAGTTTGGCACCTCAAACGATTGGCTGCGAATGGATGAATCTTTCAACTTCTGCAACTTTCTATGATAATGGAATCATCTTTAACGTCGGCTGCAGGAGCTGGCCTTGAACCTGTCTTTCGACGCGTTTCCATTAACCAATTCCAGAATTAGGTCGGAGCTTCAGCACATTGGTCTACTCCTCAGCACGTCTCATAACAAGGATCTGCATGTCGAAGGCCACGGCTGTAAGTCTCCGTTGAAACCCTGAACTAGTTTTAGACCAAGAGCATGAACATCGCACCTACGAAAAATTCCACGTCGCTTTGTTGAGCTGATACGCAGGCTTCAAGGTGCGACGTCCCCAGCAAGAGAAAATGTTTATCTTCGAAAGATGGGCCACGACTTGGTTCATTGTCAATTGATTTTTCTTCGGTGCCTGCAGGTGAAAGAGCTTGTGAAAGACTTCGGACGTATCTCAAAGAAGAAACAAAGAAGTTTCAGGATATACGAGTTTCTTGCATCTCTGATATCAGAAAGTCTGCAAACAACTCAGGTGAAAACTCCACTGTCCATACTTTGAAGGCTTGCTGCACGTTTTCGATATTGTACTTGACGTAGACACTTTCGATACACTTTTGAAATGCGTTAACGCTTTCTGCTTTTCTGTGCCCATCATTCAAAGACTATCCATGTTTTCTGCTTTGCCGACCTGTAAGGATCAGAAGAAGTGTTCACCCTCTTATTCTCAGTCTGATACTTTTGCAGGTAGCTCCGTCTCCAGCATATCCCGACACGATCTGCAAGTCGGTACCGACTGCCTCTTACTGGACTTCCTGACTTCAGCCTGGTGAGCGGCGGGCGCTACTCGCACTTTTGAAAGAAGGAAGTTCCTATCTTGTGCAAGGAAGCTCGAAGCATGATAGCTTTGCCCTGTAGTGAGATCTGTATAAAGCTGTTTCAGACCTCCTTTCGGGATCCGGATTCCAGAGGAAAGATGACTTACTCCTTGAGCTGATGCTTTGATCCAATTGTAAGAAGAGTGACTCTGTACTTGCAGGACTTTCTCAGACCACTGCTTTCATCTGGACGAGCTTTGGGGCTACGCCGTTTCTCCCATAGACTTTGACGGAGCTTCTTCTTCTATCGAGCTATTCCTAGACAATGCTCGCGCTGCTATCAAAGAAAGCGCAGATGTGCACCCAGCAGAAGCTGAGACTGGTCGTGGCGAATGTGAAGGAAACCAAGTCGACGACGATTGCGTGAGCGTATCGCAAGCGGCTTCAGCAATCAGCGAGGAGGAGATGGACGGTGATCAATCTTTCAGCACGGGGGAAAGCTTGCCAAATCGATCAGTAGCTTTTGGATCAGACACAGGAGCTGCGACGTACGATTCCACCGAGCTACTTCGCAAAAGTAAGCCAGAATCAGCGCCTCAAAATTCATATCAGCTGCCAATTTTGCATCAAGCCTTAGTAGAACCTGGTGCTGATATAGATCACCAAATGCAGCAACAACAGACGCTTCCCCTCATGAAAAAGCTCCAGGAAACAAGTTCTGACTTGAAGGTAGAGCTTAACGTTAGTGAAGGTTTGCCGGATTCTGGTGTCTCATCTTTCGATCTCGCTCGGGCTGCTAAAGCCCCTGGGTCTGGTGCAGTGAAAAGAGACGGCGAGGTCTCAGCGACAGAACCGAAAGCGCAGACTAGGTTGTCCACGGATTTGGAATCGACCGACGTGGTTGATGAAGCTCAGTCTATGAAGAACTCCAGTACAAGCAGGATTGACCAAGGAAGTACGTTCGAGTCTGTCTTGGTCGACGGCTTTCCACAGCTGCGAGAAGATAGTGGCCGCCAATCTGCATCGGGATCAGAAGCTGTCCAGGATTCGATTCTGCATCCAGTTCCAGAGACACAGTACGAAGATGCTGAAAGTCAGCTTGACGTAGATCTTTCAAACGAACCACCTAAGTTGGATTCGGAAAGAAGAGCCACTTTTGGTTCTCGAATCCTGCCCGCAAAAAGGTCTCTTTTTGAAGAGATCTCCAGAGCGACCTGCGACTGCAGCGCGGAAGAGGCTACCGCCGGACAGCCCGCAGCTGTCCGGGTCCATGGTGAGCTTGCTGGTCGTAAGAGTGTGTGAGCTTGCAAACCGGTATGAGTACATTATATCGGATCCAGACACGCCTGGATCAATGTGATCAGGCCCTTCCAAAACAAAACATTCATCGACTCTTGGAGGAGATTTAAGGTCGGTTGTGCTACTGGGAAGCCCCCTGAAATACGTCATTTTCAAAAAGCCTTCACTATTATTCGTGCAGAGTCGGTCAATGACCAAGTCGAACTTCCTTTGGAACCACCTGTGCCTGTGGAAGTTTCCAGTAAAACCAAGCTCTGCTTTTCCAAGGGCGGCACTCCTTACTGGCTCGTCAGCTTTACAATCCAAAGTATCGGCGACCACTGGATAGAGCTCCAGGGCCTTTGCTACACCCGACACGGGGACGAGAAACCCGTCACGATCGTCTGGCCTTCAGGGGACGTCGTGCTGAAGGGGGAGCGTTCCTTTGTTTCATACGCCGTCCGCTTCGAGCGGACGAGTAACGTACCTCCTCAAATGATCTTTCAATGGCAGTACAGGTAAGCACCACAATGATCTTATTTTGCGTGATTATTTTGTTTCTGGGGATACCTGATTACCCCTTACCCTTTCTCAAAGAGTGTGGTTTACTCAGCATGTTAATGTCCACTTGCGTGCTGCTTAAAGGCGTGAAAGCCAAATAAGAGCGCAAGGCCTCATCGAACAACGAGAATGCGCAAAGGTGTTCTTCTTTCAAATTCAAGCCTCTCACATGACCAGGAGATATACTGAAACCGCTTATTCAGTATATCTGATTCAAACCGCTTTCTCCTCGCAGGAAGCTAGAAAAGAAGAAGAGTGCAAAGGTGAGTCACGCTTTTTCAGGCGTGAAACACTTCCCTCAAAAGACTTGGCGCGGAAGGCGGTGGTGCCTTCTTAGATCAAGTATGGACAATTTCAACATCGATTTCACGTTGTCAGGTTGTCAGGCTGTCAGGTCCTTCCAATACAACGCATACCGTCTCATGAAGATGCCTCCCTCGTCTTGCAGAGAGAAGGACCCGTCAAGAACCCACGAATCGGATCAGAGTACAAAAGGCTGCCCCCCACGCAACTGAATTCTGCCAGAAAGAGCCCCAAGCGGCCCACCAACCAAGACCATTTGCCAGTTCATAGTTGAAGGTCCTGCAAGTCAAGATTTGAATGACAGCGAGACGTCAAATAAACAGTCCAAGGCTGTTATCAATGATGCTCGGTGGGAACAATTAGTACGTTTCTCGTAATTAAGTGGCACACTGCATGAGTGTGGTTCTCTCGATCCACGCGTATATACGGTCTCAAGGGAGACACCGGGTTTGAGCAGCACTTTTCTGTCTCCGCGTACTAAAGCTCCACAATCAAGCTGCAGATTAGCATGGGATTACCTATAAGTACCTGAAGCTAGCACGCCGTGGTTAGCAGCCCCCGTTTCTCGATATTAATTGATGGTATGACACTCATGACAGGCGGCTATGGTATCGAATTCAAGCTCTTGACGTTGACGCACTTAGCTTCCGAATCCCTGGCACTCGCATATGCCAGGCCCCGGCGTTTAACAGGCTGATCGTAAGCCAATCGGGCCGCTGCATGCGAAGCCACATCCTATTTGGCCGACATCTGCATGACCGATCCATGGCATACCGGGAACTCTCCTGTGACCTAACGGGCGTGTGGCCGTCTAAGATACGAGTTACCCGGGCACTTCAAATTATAGTATAAAACTAACCCAAATAATCACCCGCTCCCCACCTCGACCCACCCTAACCACCATATTTAACCTCACCCGTTCCCCGGGGGTGCCTAGGCTATCTTAGGTCACACGGCTCTTAGGTCACACGAGAGTTATCGGGGTCCATGATGGCAGGTACGTAAGCCGCGTCGGATCGTAGTAATGATCGATATCACCATGCAACTTTGCCGCGCCAGCGCGTAACTGTGCCGGCCCGGGCTTTAAACTCCAAGCTAGCTCGTCTTTGCAGCATGACTCGTATCAACGTGGTTATAACTCAACGCCATGATGGGGGCCCAAAATTGACCATCTTTGTCAACTGTGATTCACAATATGCAGGATACACCGACTAGCTCTATTCAACTTGCGGCACTTGCGCCCCGATAGCTAGCATTGATGATTGACTGCATCGGATTTCCACTCCGAGCTGTCCAATCATGGTCATGTACAATGGACGTGGCCCCTACGGGCCATTTCACATATCTGCGTCAACATAAGTTCTGCTCAGAGCAAACGACAGATTTGACGTTCTAGCATACAGGCTGTCTAGCTGTTGAAGTTAGTGGCAGTACTGGCACTCTAGAAACAGTAGCTTGCTTGAGGCGCAATCCTTCTGCGAAAAGATCCTATATACATTGACAGAGTTGTGTACAATCAGAGGGATAGCAGAGATTGCAGTAGGACCGTACAACATGCTCCTCCTGCCAGAGACCTGATATGCGACGGTCATGCTTTCAATTCACCTTGTGGCCGTAGCATTGCCCCGAACTTGACTTTCCGTTTCAAGGGACCGGCAACGGAGACGGAGCCCGTCTGCTCCATACTCGCCTTCCCCACCTCGCCGACGCGAGGCAGCCTCGACGGGCTTCTGGGCTTCGACTCAAGCTGCCCGTTTTCTCCGCTGGGTTCCGGCTGACCACTCTCCATAACCACGTTCGCCTCCGCCTCTTTCCTCCGGGTTTCAACAAGCGGCGCCCGACTCTGAGGAAACCTTTCACCAGAAGCGGGGATTTGCTGAGAAGGGGTTTCACGAGAAAGCGGCTCACGCGCTGGGGGCGCAGGCGCAGACGCCGAAGCTTCAAGAGCAGATGGTTCCCGAGCAGAAACTTCGCCAGTGGGGGCAGCGATCGAGGGCGCTCCCGCGGCCGTGTTCGCGGCCGCCTTGGCCGCTCTCCTCTTGGCCCGTGAACCCGTCGTATTGAGGACGCTTAACATGGCTTCCAGGGGGTTGAACTCGCCCGACGGCGCATTTGGCTCTGCCGGCACCTCCTCATGAGCTCCAGCTTCCGCTTCCGCTAACGGCTTCAAGACGTTTGCAAGAGCACTGGAATCCGTATCCTTCTGCAGAACGTCCGCAAAAGCACCGGATTCCGTAGCCGCCGTCGGAACGTTCTCGACAACGTCGCTCAGAAGGGGCGGCGGGCTGGACTCCCGCGGCAAACTCTCGACGTGTGGCTGCTCTAATTCACCGTTCCGCGTAGGGCTCCCGACGGACTCTGGAACTGGTAGACTGCCAAAAAGGGGTTCCAAGGGCGGGGTTTCGGAGACCGGGAGTTGGGGAGGGGCCATTGACGACAGCAACTGCCCCGCTTCTTCGTCGGTTAGACCGCGGACGGCGTCCTTGAAATTCTTCAGCGAGAAAAGGGAGTTCTTCTTCTTCTTAGGGACGATCGGCTCAGTGTCGGGCGCCTGCGCCGGAGTCATCGGGGGTGCCTGGGGTTGCGGTGCGTCGCGGTTCGGCTGTTGGGCGGATTGCGGCCGGTGCGCCTGTCAGACGAGAAGGCGAAAGGAAAAGTTAGCAACGCTTCCAGGGGTGTTTTGTACCCGCAGTCTCTTGGAAATAGCCTCTGCAGACAGATGTAGAGGAGTGCATCGGCCTCAGCTGAGGGAGCCAATCAAAACGAATGCTGGAGAGGCCCGTTATGCCAGCGAACGAACGAAGTCTGGCGCCGAACGGCCTTCGCAAAGTCAACGAGAAGGCGCAGACCTCGGAAAGTATAGGGCTCGAAATTTGCCAGGGAGCCGAAAGAGCATGCTGCACAAGTCCAGTCACGTAGACTCGACCCAGTCTCTACTTGCAGCGTTTCAGGGAGCAGTCCTGCCTCCAACTTTCAGCCTGAGACTCCTTCCACCCGCAATGAAACCTGCCAGGACAACCAGAGTGCAGAAACGAATAGTCGACTCTCGTCCGAGAAAAGACTCCGAGAAAGGACTTGAACGCATGCCAGTCGGCTCTTCTTACCTGCGACTCCTCTCCTGGTCCTCTCCCTTCCCGCCCTCTTCGCAGCCCTGCTTCCTCGACAGGAGCGCTCTCCTCATCTTCCTCTTCGATCACTGCCCGCCGCCTGTTCCTCGTTCCGCCTCTGCCCGTCGCCATTTCCTCGACTCGCTGACCCCGTCGAGACGACGCTCGACTCCTTTGGGGTAGTGCATCCTCGTCCTCCCCGTCCCATAAGGAGTCGGGTTCTTTTCGGCCATTCTGTGCAACCGCTGATGCTTCGGCTCCGGTCTGCCCGAACAAACAGAGAGGTGTAGTTAGATTCTTCAGGGTCAGCTTTAGTTTTCAATCAATCAACTTGATTGATGATATCACTGGGTCCAATTTGCTCTCGAGTACTCGTGGTTCTTGGGTCGCACTCCTTGAAGACTTTTACCGTTTTCGGACATGAGGTTAAGAGATTCAGGTTTTAAGGTTTAAGATGTCCTTGGAACGGCAAAAACACAGAGACCCACAGCATGGAATTCTGTCGAAAGGAGGGAAGGAGATACCGCACACACTAGCATATTCTACACATGAGGTCTAGTCCGTGGTCTTGCCTCCAACCCGCCCTGCTGAATTGTTGAAGAGAAAGTCTCAGGGGAGACGCTGGTGCGACGTCAGCGCAACATTATGACAGTAGCATCACTGCAAACGTCAGCAATCGAACAATTTCAACATCTAAGTCAACCCGCCAGAGACGCCTGACTTACGTCTCGGGACTCAGAATCAAACCCACTTCTGTCAAAACATCTTTCCCTTCCATTCGAAATTCATTAAGGCGACCTTGACTGCGGATATTCGTATTGAGCTCCAGCACAGCTCTTCCTTCGAGCTGAGTTCGTACACCAGAAATCTACAGGCCGCCACCGACGCCCTTCTAGGAGCATTTTAGTGAATGTGCGACTTCCAAGCAACGATCAGCCCGCCCAACTTGACACCCAAAACCAGCAGAACCACTCACTTCCTGCTCATTCTCCCGCATGTTCTCCACGATCGAACCCCAGTTCTCCCAGTCGTAACCCAGCGTCCCCGTGTCTTCCATTACCCCCAACGTCCCCCCCATTTGCCTCTGCGCATCAGTCTTTCCTCCTCGCCCCAGTTCCTCGTCATCCATGCCGTCATCCTCTTTACCTCCTTCCTCTTCGTCCTCAGCCACCTCCCTCAGCCTCCGGCTCCCTGCAACCGCCGCTCGCCGTGTCGACCTCTCCCGCGGCGCCACGTCACCCCCCCTGGAACCCCCCGCTTCGTCGTCCCCCCCTTCCTCCTCACTGTCTTCCTGCACGATCTTTGCACCCCGGGCCCTCCGCCGGGGTGGCTGCTTCGCGACCACTTCCAGCGGACGCTTCTTACCGAGCAGCGTCCGAATGTCCGCAATCCCCTCTGCGCTCGGACGCCCCTTTCCCTTTCCCTTCTCGGGCTTCGCTGATTTTGGCTGCAGCCAGGGGGGCAGCACCCGCTTTCCCGACCTGCTGCTCGACGCCTCGGCAGCCCCCCCCGCTGCGCTCAGCGCACTCCCTGCTGCCAAGGCGTTTGTGATCATGGGCTGAAATACTGCCGCTACTTCTGAGGGCCCTCCTTCGACTGCTGCAGAGGTGACGGGCGGTGGTGCTTCCAGGGGGGGTGGCGGGGGAAGATCTTCGGCGAGGACTGCCTTTCCAGTGGCGTCTGCGCGTGCGGCGGCTAGGCGCTCCCTGGCTCTCAGCCGCTCTTCTGCTTCAATCTGGAAGGAATTAAGGGAGTGGCTCAGCTTTGCTTCTGAGGATCGAGAACAAGAAGCTCCGGAGAGTCGCAACCTATCATGGATTGGACTGTTCGAGCAAGACTTTATAATCACGATGCCAGGTCAAAGTTCGAAAAGTGCTGACAAGGATAAGAAGTCACACATTCCAATGTCTGCCAGTTGAAAGACAAGTGTCGCTCCTGAAACCAGTGCTATAAATCACAATTGGAGGGCAAAAATCTAGGTGAGTGAAGTACCAAGAAAACCCCTTGATGTGACAGCTGAGGCCAGAATCTGAATACCAACTCAGAGTCAGAAGGACACTTCCTAGCCGACGACAGCGGTTTCTCACATCAAGCAAACATAGCATGACGGACCTGTAACGCCAAAATTGGTGGCTGAAGTAGCAAGTAAGGCTTGCATTTCCATCAGTCCGTCGGCTCTTACCTGGTCAGCTCTGGTCAGCAGCAGCGCAACAACGTGCTTGCACAGCCCCCTCTGTGCAGATGGACAGGAGCAGTCTGCCTGTGGTCTTGCAGAGGGCATGCTGGGGTCCAGTTCAAACTTGAGAATGTAAACGTCCCTTGGGGACGACCCTGCGCAATGCATTACAATTATTTGGATGATCCCCCTGAACTCCGTACAAACCGCAGACTCAGTAGCAAGCCACTGTAACGACCTGAGGATAGCTGAAAGTTATCACCATATTAGCATTAGACTGCTTAGATGCTGACTGACTGGTAGCTTCCCAATGCAGTCCCTGACCTAATTGGATACAGCATTCACGCTGAGATGACAATCTGGCGGCGCACATCAAGACATTTGGCAGTGAAAAACACATTCACAATCTGCATGTTTCAAAATCAAGCTGGCCGCTCTGATCGCCAAAGCACGCATGCCCCCGAAAAGAAGGCACGCTTTCTTGAAAAGTCCACTTCTCTTGTGTGTCTCATTTCGTCAGTAGAAGCATCTAGCGTATTCAAGTCTCCTCACCTTCGCACTTTGCTTTCCCATGTATGAACTGTTCACCAGAGAACTCAATCTCCGTCATCTTGTTTGAGGCCTGAACTTCAATGGCCCTCTTGAAAGTCCCATCATTCCCGGCCACCTTCTTGATTGCCTCCCTGCTGAGCAAAATAGCCCTGGCCGCCATTTGCAAAGTCGCACAGACAGTATCGCTCACAGAATTCCAAGGAAAAACGAGGACTATATGAAAATGACTATCAAAGAGCTAGTTGATCCTCTCGGATGGGCGACCCCCCGTCAGCTGTTACGTAGGACCAAGTGGTGCCTCTCTTCCTGCAGGCCGCCATTGAAAGGGAACACGCTTGCAAGCAAATCGTCCATTCTGACATGACGATGAAACATAATCATTGAAAGACTTCCACCCGGCCTGCGCCGCCACCAGTGCTGCGAACATTTGACGCGCGCGCGCGCTACTTGTGAGGGATCATTGACTGGCTGCGCCGGAGTCGATCGCGACGCGGTACCGCGCTGCGGCTGCCAGAGATCGAACGGTCGGCAAGTCTAGCGGCCGGCCAGCCTATCATGGGAATTGATTACTAGGCTTAGGTTGCTAGCTTGCACGCGATATGTAGAAACGGGCGTCTTAATTGCTTCTATTCTGGTGCAGCGCTTCACGGTCACTGAGCCTCGGGACGACTGTCACTTTGTTTCCTACGTGTCACTTTGTTTCCTATGCCAATGATAACGTAAGCAGCACATGCATCAGACCAGCTTGGCGCAGCGGCATGCACATGTGAGGTTTTAGCTATAATTCAAATACTGGCGCGCTATACCGGGCCAGCGAATATTGCCGCGGCTGGTGTCTTCACATTGTCATATCAATACAGCTTAGCATAACCTGCAACCATGCGCCTGCACGATGTGCCTTGAAGGCCTCGCATCAGCACTTGCAAGGTTTGAGAATTCATTACAACAATCAAGTACCGCAACGAAGCTGAAAGTTCGACTCACCACATGCGCAAAAACAATGTCAGATCTCATCAATATTCGAGACGGCCAATTCGCGATTCCACTTACGCTACATAGATACAATGGCAGTGGATAAACCTTGTGAGGTCTGCTGACTGACAAGAAGCGCGCCGGGGACCTTCAGAGTTACCAGGCTGATGCAGATTCTGGTTGCCAGTTCCTCTATCGGTGAACTTTTCCAAAATCAAGATTTCGCGTATAGATACAAACAAAGAAGCCCCAACTCACTTCTTCCCTTTGCCGACCAGTCCCCTCAGAAACCCGATGCCTTTGTTAACCGGACTTTGTGAAGCGGAGTAGTTGTAAAAGATCTGCGAGGCCAGATTTGTAATGCTTTTTTTAGACGCCATTGCAAGCGACATGACAGTCTCTTCAAGCAGGTCACGCAGATCAAGATATCCTCATCGCAGGATTCGTTAGAAATCGACAGAAGCAACGGACCAGAAAGCTGCTACCAAACCAAGCACAAAACACAAAGCACTAAGCAACCGGACAGAGCAGCACAACTTACGTCCTCCAGATCTTTCGCCGTCGGCCTACTCTTGTACGTCTTGACAGGTTTCAATCCTTCGTTCCCCTGGGCAACGAATGGATATTTCGGCTCATTTCTGATAATACCATTGAAGGTGCAAAGTTCTTGACACAAAGAAGATCACGAACGAGCGATCACAACAAAACAAAGCCTGCAGAACGTTCCTTTCACTCCTTTGATCATCCCCTTCACAATAGGACAACGCAACATACGCTGCTCTTGGCAAGAAGCCATGGAATCCAAACGCCCAACATTGAAGCGGGTGTCAGCCTGTGTAGGAGCAGCCCTCCGATTCAATGAACGCCTTTTCAGGACGCACGAGATTCACAGGCCGTGCCGCTTTTCAGTAGCTAGTCCGCCACCAACTATGAGGAGCGTAATCATCAGGTTTTCTTTCTTTGCCGAGAGGGCAACTCTCGGCCAGAAGGTTCTCGTTCTGAAAAGCGCACGACGTCAGCAAACCCGATGGCCGGCTTCGGGCAACTTACCTCCCACCTTGAACGCAGGCTTACAGGAGGCCCTTTCAGAACGACCAAATCTGATCGACGTTGCATACAACGTGAACAATAGCTGCGGTCGCCTGGAAATAATAATCTCGTCTAATCGCCAGTGGTTTCGGTGGTCATCGTTCTACGAACGGGTCACTTCATCGCTGTGCTTCAGGGTACTCAATCTTCTGATTAAAGGTGTTGAATCAACCAAAAGGGGCCCGGCTGCCGCTGACAAAGTCGGATTCCTAAAGGCCAGGCCCGGTGTAACCGGTCGGAGCAAAAATTGACCGTCAAAGCAGCGCTCGGGGAACGTTTAGGAGCAACAAGAAGGGACTCAAGACGAGAATATCAATTGCACGGAGTACCTTCACGAAGATGACCCACGGCGCTCCCTGTGGCGGCCCGCTCCGCACGAACTTGAGCACCGCCCCTTCGAACTTGCTCAGCATCGCCTCGATGTTGAGCGGCAGGAACGAGTAGCACACGTCGAAAGAAGCCACGAACGCTTTGTTGTTCTCCTCGGCTTCGCTGGCGTCCGGCCATTCTGCAGGAAATCGATGACGGTGCTTGTAAAATCTTCTTTGGATGTTAATATGCTCTGATAACCTGTATGTAAAGATGTTTGAAAACAGTGACCACACTCTCGGGGTTTGATTTGAAATCAAAGTAGAGAACACACGGATCCCAGATCTTCCGAATGGGGCGAAATGACGAAGTCCTTTCCTAGGAATTGCGGCCAGGCCTTACACATAAATTAGATTTGAGAACTGCTCTTGAAAATCCGGTCAAGCTATGGCGCATGTTGATTCTGTGCACTGTCTCGGCTGTAGACACAATCTTATGCACGTTATTGAAGGAGCCTAGCATCGGCATCTTTCTGTTTAGAACGCACCTGGATTCAGGACCACTATGGGTCGGCTGCCGGCGGTTCCCACGATGGACCGCAAGTGGGCTATCTGCACGAAGCAACGGAGCTCGTTATTCGGGGAAAGGATCTCGCGCACTATCAACATTTCAATGGGATACAAGGGAGACTTTCTCGGAACAAGCGCAGAGGTGGACACGCGCTGGTCATTCTGGGCAATCGCGTTCAACGATTTTCAAACAATATTGGAGCCAGCGGACTGACCGTCAAGACAGTCCTTGATTGTACGAGGAAGATCGTTTGAATGCAAGCGGTGCTGCTTTCAGAGCGGTTGTGAAGGAGAATGGGGAATGATTGTAAGACAAGAGATAGAAGAATTTTACAACCATCTGCTTCAGCCAGATGTATCCACTAGAGGAACCCCCCTGTCAGATTCCTTAATCGGTCTTGTTTGGGATTGACTGCCAATACATCTTCAAAGACATCCTTGAGAAGGATTAGAGAATGACCGGTGAGAGCTGTGCATTTGCCTAGTCACTGCTATCGTTGTGAAACAATGTTCTCGCACAGAGATAGCATCGGACTAACAGCACACGCCGAGGTGGTGGAAGGCAAGGAGAACACAATACTTGGATATTAAGACCAGATCAAGCGCACCTGCTCTTCTTTTGGACCAAGTAAAAGCACCGCTCCTGCATTGTCTGGAAACGTCTCCCCCTCCCTAAGAGTTTGTACACTGGCGACTGGCGCCTCTCCGATGCTCTGAAGCTCCTCCGCAGCCACTCTCCGTACCTTCTCTGAGGCCACAAAGATGGCCACTGAGAGAGGTGCGCCTTTCTTATCAGAAAATGCACCATCGCAAACCTCCCGCGCCAACTGGATTTGGGCCTCTGGGGTCTCATCAGCAACTGGTACCTGAAATGAGATGGTAAGACTCTGATCGCCTGGTGGTCTTAGCCAACAGAAATCTGTGCTAGTCATACTGGTAGTCAGGTGTGATCAAGCGGGCATATTTATAAAGCTTCCTCAATGTCGCCCTATTCCTTGCAGTCCTGTGAATATATTGTAGAGGCATTGAACCCCACTCTTGACTCCATGTGAGTTGTAAGTCTTAGGGGGGTGGAAAGTGGATACCCAGAACTCTCAATGTTGATATTGGACACTGCAGTTCACTTTTGATTTGACGTGTTTGCCTGATGGGAGGCGTGGGGTCATGGTGTTACACCACCACTCAATTGACTGGCAGCCAAGAACTTACATGGAACCACCTTATTCCTACAAAGTTCTGGTGGTTACAGGTGCCACCAAAATTGGCACTGATAAGGGGAAACGTAATCCAAAGAACACAACCGCCAGCTTGCATACCTCAATTTGCAACCGAAGTTGACTGGCAATTCCCCCCTTTCTCCGCCCCTGCTTCGCAAGAAACTTGACCATCACAGACTGCAACGCGGTCCGTGCTTGTGAGACAGCTTCCTCTCGGCTGCTCGGGGGCTGCTCCACAGCTATGTTTTGGAGTCCTTCTGCTGCGCTATTGACCACATTCAACGTTTCATGGCTTCTGCCAGCTCGGGACCTTCCAGGCTTAGTGCTTTCTATGCGTACTTTATTCTGCAAGAAAGTGCAGTTACGTTTCAGAGCAAAGGTCAACTGCTGTGGACTTCTGAGTTGTTTTGAAGTAGGCTGCCATGGGTTGGTTGAGAAGCATTGACTAGCATTGCACTGGGGGTAGGGAAGTAAAGCAGCTTGCCACTGCCCTGCGACATGCGCAGAACGTGTGGACGTGGCAATTTTGCATGTGAGACAAACTCCCACAGCTGTGACCTTCTGACACACCGCCATTGCAGAACGATGGCAACCAGTTCTTCTATTTGCCTTCCTCTTGTAAGCTGATTCCTTTTTACACCACCCTTTTAGCAAAATGACTCGTTAGAGGAACAATCAAAGCATCCAATTCTAGGGCCCTTCTGATCCCAAAACTCTGCCCAGTGACCCTTTTGAACCAGTGCAAGCGCCTAAACTTGGCAAGGGAATAAGCCTGAGGCTGAGGCTGCTGTTGTTTTCTGATTTTGCACTTCAGAGGTTGCAGGCCCTTCAGTGTAAGTTCACAAGCTTGCGTTTGATATACTCGAGCGCATGGTATAATATTCGAAGTTTTCCAAGAGAACACTGTCCGACTGACGCCGACTGGGGGGCTATACCGTACTGACAGCTTCTTTACCCCCTTGTCTTATATTTGATAAGCCTCAGCTTCACATAATGCTCCGGCTGTCTCACATAACCGAATTCTACAACTTTGAAAAGACACTTCAAAGCTGAGACAGAACGCAGCAAGGAGGGGGAATCGAAGGCGAAGCTATGGTGGAGAGCACCTCTGTGCTCCGTCTGCGCTTCTGAATAAGAGCTGGGGATGCCAGCTAGAGAAGCAGAGGCCTTTGCAAATTGAGATCCGGTCTTTTTCCTATTGCAGCCATTTGCAATGCTGCGTCCGCAACTTGCGCCACCATGTGACAGGTGCAGATACTAACTGTCATGATCTTTGGATTAAGGTCTTGATGCGCATGCAGCTTCTGCTGTGAGGGCAGTGGTTAGTGCCCCCGCCTGTAGATTACATTTGAAGAGGCATTCTCATGTAATTGCTCCTCTATTAAAGAGCTTTTACAAAGGGTTTGCACATACAGAAACAGTATGGCAAATGCCGCATTGGAGATTGCCGAGTCAGGGGCCAGCTCTCTAGCTCGAGCATGGTCAAGTCACCAAGCATCAACCAGCCGCTCTCATCCCACACTTTCCAATGTACATGAACTCTCAGCGAGTCAAAGTGGTTTTTCTGGGAGAAGTTTTGTAGGCTCAAGCCTCGTCCAAAAAAATTACGGCCGCAATCTGGTTTGCACCAGGCTCAGTAAACACGATAGCTTTTGTTTGACGGCATCCAGGTCGCAAAGATGTCAGTCAGCAAGCTCTCAATCCTTGCCCCTAAATGCAAGGAAAGAGGGTAAAGGACTCTTCGGGGGGCTGAAGGGAAGACGGAGAGGTCTGGAAGCAAGGCAGCGGAAGGACGTGCGTGCGGCAGCTATATCTGGGGAAGCCACCACTCAAGGAGACAATGCAGCCCCAGTTTCCAAGAAGAGTCTCCTTCCTGTGGAGGTTGAACTCAGTTGGAAGCCGCCAAAGTAAGATTCACCCACAGATCCACTCATTGCTGTCACTTTCTGAGAAGCTGAGAAGTGATTGTGCTTTGTTGTCAGGTGCCCAACCTTTCTGATCCAGATTGGTTCCCTTTGAAAGCTGAAGTTTTGCAAACTGTCCCAGTTTTTTGGTGGCACTCATCAAGCTGTCTTACGCCCATCTGATGAAAATGCTCTTAATCTGAGGGGGACAATCAGGCGTGTGATTCAAACGGAATGAGATTTGAAAGACTTCTAAAGACCTGCAGTTGACCATATCTCATCGGCCCCACCCGATGCGGAAGCTGTGTACCCGGCTCGGAAGCTATGCACTGAGTTCTTCTTCTCTTCTCATTTTCTGGAGGTGTAATATCTCTTTTCAAAAATGGTACCTAGATGCAGAATTCCATTTCCTATTCTACTGAAGCCTGCACCCATCCATCTCCTTTCGATATTTCCCGACTGATAAATACAAAGTCCTACAGTAGTTGAAGAGTTCAAGAGGACAGCAATAGCTTAAAGTCAGAGGGTCACTTCTGCCTTTTTGGGGGCCTCGGCACCAGTTGGAACACAGCGTGATGAAAGCAGAAAGGCTGTTGTCTCATTGTAGGAACGAGAATTGGACTTGACCGTTATGGAAAACCAGGCACAAGTATCTTATGGAACGAGAGAACAAACATATGTTGACCACTTCAAGGAGTAGAGGGCAGAACAGTCTCTCAAGTTGTCGAAGCAAAGTCAGTCGAATTCTCCTCCTGCAGATGGGCCTGGCGTGCTCTCTCCGCCGCCCTCATTCTGGGGCAGGTAGCATCGCGCGTCCTAAGAGGCAAGATCCATTGGAAGAATACTCTGGAGCAGCTTGCGGAGGTGGGGCCAGGATCGCTCGGGGTGTGTCTCCTGACGTCGTCCTTCGTGGGCATGGTCTTCACAATCCAGGTGAAGTATTTTCGTTTTACTTGTGGGCACGTTATAGTTTGTCATAATCGTTTCAAGCTTGCCTCGTCGTTTGTGACCACTATTCTAAAAATTTTGGTTGCGTACCAGGAACCAGTGGTTTCTGCTTTTCAGGATGAAGTGTACCATCCCTCTGACAACATGGTTCAGCAGTCTTTGTGGTCCATTTGCGTCCCTGTCATGGGGATCCGGTCATTTTATCGAACACATCTCCGGGTTCAGCAGCGACGAGCATCTGACCCCGTTGTCAAGTTCCTCCGGAGCCACTGCAATTGAGTCATGAACGTTGCAATTTGACTTTGGAGCTTTCTGTATCTTGACTTCCAACTGTGTTTGCGCCCGCTTGTACGCAAAAGAGAGATAGGGAGGCATGTTTGCTCTCGTCTTTGTGACCATTTTCGACCATTCCGCCTCTTAACGGCTCAGAGCCTCACAGATATGATCGTGGAAGCTGCTCAACGCCCAAAGCTTTCTCAACCAGCGACCTTTTTGTGCTTTTGACCAACGTCTCGATCACCATGGTCCAGTCAATGACCTTAACGAAAGACGAGACGCGATCATTAACGAACCGTTACGCCTTTGCAGTTTGTGCGCGAGTTCGCTCGTTTGGGGCTGACCCGCTCGGTAGGCGGAGTCTTGGCTTTGGCCCTTTCTCGGGAGCTGACACCTGTCGTTACGGCCATCATCCTTGCTGGACGAGTCGGGAGTGCTTTCGCAGCGGAGCTCGGAACGATGCAGGTGCGGTGAACAATCTTAGCTGGGAAACACAAGCGTCAATGATGAAGTTTGAGCCTCAGTATCACATGAACCGTGCCAGTCCGAGTCCGCCGATTGAAATTGCAACATCTTCGCTGAATCTCGATCAACTCTTTTTTCTTCTTCGAATTTCAAATTTTGCTCATTTCAGGCGTCCCCCTATTCATAATGCCTCTTGCGGTACGCTTGTACTGTGGACACGTCAGATGTATCGTAGTGCACATTTCTGTGTTCCGAGCAATTGCCTCGTCACTGCAGCCCTTGCGCCTAACGTGTAATCTACCCGACGCTTTGATGATTGTTATTGCCTCTGCTTTCGTTTTTGCGAGCCAAGATCGGGCTAGTATCTGCAGCTGCATCAAGTCGGGGCCAAGCTGGTGATTTCTTCGAGGTCCGGTCTTTCGTGTCTCGCTGAGGTGGTACCGTACGCATGAAAATCTTCCTTCCATTCGTCTCTTAAATCTCGATTTCTCTTTCTTTTAGGTCTCCGAGCAAACCGACACGCTGCGCGTGCTGCGCACCGACCCCGTGGACTACCTCATCACGCCACGTGTCATCGCCTGCTCGATCGCCATGCCCTGCCTCACCGTATTCTGCTTCACCGTCGGCATGGCGGCCAGCGTCCTGCTTGCTGACGCAGTGTACAGCGTCAGCAGCAACATCATCCTGGACTCGGCGGCGCGCGCGCTGAGTCGGTGGGATCTGATCAGGTGCGGCAGTTCTTGCACATAGGCGAACTCGTAGAGGTGTTGCAATCGACTCAAACTTTGAGGTTTCCCCGCTTTGCCCATTTCCCCTGGTTGTCTGCAACCATGACTGAATGGTTTTTGGCCGTCTTCTGACGATCGTGAAGTTGGAATCTAGTGGCAGGGAGAGCTGGGGTGGCGGGAATTCTTAAGAAGTCAATCATTCTTACGCGCCCTCTCTCTTCAACTGACTGCGCTAGTCGTGACGCCGAAGTGTGACAACAAGCCCGATTCGGTTGCTCGACGCGAGCTCCTCTTATGTTGAGGCAAGAGGGCTGCGCTTCTACGTTGGTTGCAAGCAGTGCTTGCCGGCTTTCCCGTTCTCTCTAAGAGGGGCCTTCAGAAGCGTCTGCCCACTAAAATGGTTTTCTGCTCGCAGTACCCTAATTAAAAGCTACATCTTCGGCGTCATTATCGCCGTCATCAGCTGCGCGTGGGGCATCACCACGAACGGCGGCGCCAAAGGCGTGGGAGAGTCGACCACGTCAGCTGTCGTCATCAGCCTGGTGGTCATCTTCATTGCGGACTTCGTCCTTTCGTTCCTGTTTTTCCAAGGGGCCGGCGATTCACTCAAGGCTGCGCTTGGATAGGAAAGTGCGCACGGTTTTGTACGGAACAATGTTTCGCCAGACATTTCATGGGCAGGAAAGGTGCCTACTTGTTTCGGGGCTTCGATTTCGCTTCTATTCTCGACCAGAGATTTTCGATGGATTGCACTGGCAGGTTTTGTGGAGTCGTCGTTTTTTCAATCCTTACTCAGCCACCCTCCTGGAACAAATGTATGCTTTGCAACTTAGCAACAGGGCTTATACCAGTAAAAGTTTCTGGTTGGCCCGCATGATTTAGTGGCCGAAAGGTGGCGCGCATTCAGAGGGACGACAAGTCAGTGCTCGCATGCATTGGCCCTGAGTGCGCATGAATTATCAAAAACACTCCGACGATTCTGTGAATTGCATGACTACAACTGGCATTGATGTCGAGTCCGGGCCCTCGACCATGCTGCGCATGTGGTCAGTCTGCACTTTGCCGCGGGCCTGGCCCCACGCCGGGAGAGTGAAATCCTAGCTTGAGTGAGCCACTACATAACTTCAGCAACTTGTAATCATGACTAGCTAGTACACTGACAGTGCGCAACTGAGAGCTTCGTACTTTAAGTTAGTGATCGATCATGCATCAAGACACATGCACATGATAACTGCAACGTGTACAGTGATGTACGTATATATATCCTCATGGATTGATGTCGGGCATGCTCGATTGAACACAACTCCCTTGAGACTCAGCTGGCATGCATGGTACGTGCTGGACGACGGTTGTTGTCGAGCACATGTGATCACTGAATTACAAAGAAGCCTGCAGGAATTCTTGCAGGCCGGCCGGCGAGCCTACTGCGCGCGAGGCCCTCGTTCATTGATATCATACGCTTGAGGGGCCGCGCGGCACATGCCTGCAGATATCCTTCTCAAACCCTGGCTTACTCAATTCCTCGCATCATTGACAACGGACTGCCCTCCTTGCTTTTGGCCTGCTAAGTTCTGATGGTCCAGGTTAACCGATGAACGACGGGGTCACTATCGCATTGGAAAGCTTGTGTCCACTTTGAATATAACTTCCAAAACTTCTCTAAAAAATCCTTTAGCTCGGACTACTCTCAATTCTGCATGTCCAGTGTCCCAGCTTTCCACATGACTGCTGTTGAGCGTTCCCCTGACCCGACCCGACCCGCGTTTCTACATTATCATTGCCAAAGAGAACAAGCCAACGGCGGTCAGTGCTGGTACGATACTGAAACCCTGGTCTCCCCTTGAGCTGGCAGCTGTGTGAGAGTGCTCAGTACCAGAATGCTCTACACTCTTGCTCGCTTCACTCACCGTTTCCGACGTGATTGTAGGATGACCAGTAGTACTCGAACCTGCCATAGCGGCCGCTATCTTCTCACATCCTGTCAGTCCGACCTCTTCAAGTTTACTTGCAACTGCGACGATGCCGCCACATATGAAAAGCGACATCAACACAGAACTCAGTACTATGGCTTGCGGAACGTCGAGTTGGCAGCTTTTCGAAAGGGTACTCGGAATCTGCTTCAGCAGCCTGTTCATGCTTGCGAGCGTCCCTAGCACAGAATATTGGAAATCAGTCTCCCTTCGCTAAATCAGGGTTCGCCAAAATCAAGGAAGGATCAAACGTCTGCCCTTTTGAGTGCGTCGATGACAAAATCATACGCTACTGAGGGGTCTGCGTGAAGGCGTCTTAGCCCTCAATAACAACATCCCAGAAAACCTCACAGCTCATGAAATGGCAAAAACATCCGGGATCAAACACTTGGCTCTTTGGCTAGAATAGTCAGTTCTCGCAGCTCGGAAACGCCGAGCTTCTAATCAGATCAAGAATCGTGTTGCTCACACGTGTCGTACAGGAGGACGACGTGGCTCCCAGCTTGGAGCGGTGGCTGGAACCCTGCTCCAGCTTCTGGATACGGACGAACGACTTCCGGCTGGAAGCAAACCGTGTACTTGTCCGGTCTGTCCGGGAAGTAGCTGGCGAGCTGGTCCGGCGTACTGTTGCCGTCCAGCTTGAGCTTCAGCATAGACAGTGTGCGCGCGCCTTTTCTTGCGTGCACAACGATGATGTCAGCCATCCTGCATCATGGAAGTAGAGGGATCAGCAGGATTGCTCTCCAATTGCCTGAATATCTGCGTGCTTATGTACGTTAGCCCGTCTTGCGAAAGGAAACAGGGAACGGCTGTGAAATGGAGTTTATGAGCTGGAATCTCGCTCGGATATCGTTATGAAAACAGACTTTCTTGATTCTTCGGGCAATCTACTACACAAACATTCCAGATTTGACGACGGTTCGAATTCTCCGCAAATGAAATCCAGTGACAGCACTTACAATGAGAAATCGGAAGATTCGATCAGCAAGCCTGAGTTTGAGTACAAGCAAGAAGAGTGACCTGATTAGAAGCGAAGGAGTGCTTTATGGTACAGGATCTGCGAGTGCGACAAGGCAGGAAGATCACAGAAAGCTGGGCGCGAGACGATCAAGTGTAGCTGGTACAGACCGGGGTATAGCTGAGAGAATGGACCACTGGGAAGCAAGCGATGCTTTTCTGCAAGATCAAGACTAAAAGCATCTTTTATAGCCCCAGTAGTGGGTTGCGTACCCCATGAGTCAAGTCTGCCGCTGCCGCGTCGGCGGCCGCGACTGCAGCGCGGTCGAACAACGTCACCGGACCCCGCGAGGTTTACCGGTTTAACACCGCGAGGTTTTACCAGTCAATAGATTCCGCCGACGTTCCGTCAATTTCGTTCCGCCGGGCAGGCCCAGTGTGCACCCATTAAATGCTTGCATGCATTTAGGCTGCTAGCGCTGATCCGTCGGAATGCTGACTTGGCGCCTCGGGCTGACGGAATCAAACTTGCATGCGCAGAACGTACTGTTTGTACTGGTGGAAATTTTGCGCGAAGGCCCGTGTACTGCAAAGGGACAGAATAATGCATGCAACTCATGGGTGCGCATATGGAAGTGCGGGCTGAGCATCTCTCTCAGGATCACTAGTCAACAGCTGCCATTCTCGCTGCGGATCAGATAGGGCTGCTGCAGCAAGGGAAGCTGGCGTCCCGCAGCTGATCACACGTGTATGATCGGCAGGGAGTTGAAAAGCAAAGTTGATTCTAGTCTGATCTCCCGGTGTCTATAGAGCACGGAGGGGGGACTCATTGCAAACCCCGGCGCTCAGCATGGCGGCAGAAGAATCTGAATCACGGCTTGTCCCAGCAGGCAGCTCTGACTCCAGTGCTCAAAAGCGCTTTCGTTTCAAGCTCCGCTCTCAGAGATCCGGCGTTAACACAGCTGACGTCCGCCCCCGGAATCAGGGCGGGATTGCCCCCATTGTCGCCAAAAAGGACGACCACATTGTGCTCGACTTGAAAGACGGACACCCTTGTACAATTTGGACCGTCCTCAGTCTCTGGTTTGTCTTCTTCTTCCCCTACAGCCCACTGTTCCTGCCCACCATAGCCGCCGGGCTGTACATAGCTTACCGCCAGCTGAGCCATAGCGTATGGCTCGTCTGGGCTGCTCTGAACATCCTCTTCCTCCTCCTCCCTCCATACTACAACCGCCTATTTCGAGAGGAGTACTTCAGACGCTTATACATTACACTTGCACATTACGCAAACTCGAGCAGGGCTGTAATTCCAGCCAAACAGTACCCCCCTGGAAAGAGATACATTTTTGGGTTGCATCCCCACGGGCGGGTTATGTACTCAACTGCGTTGATAAGCCAGCTACACGACGTTTTCCGGCGGGTGCTTCCTGAGGGGGGTGGGGACGTGTTTGGCGCTATCGCCGCTGCATTCTTCTACGTTCCATTTGTTCGAAGTGAGTTCCTGAGTCAGCTCCAAAACTGCGTCAAAGCTTAAGTACTCAAAATGATCTTGCATCTTCTAACTTCTGCCCATACTCGTTTGCTTAAGATCTTTTAAACTGTCATCACTGGCTCCGGTGGGCAGTTCAAGTGTCGCAGGCGCGTAAAGTGGTTGAGAGTTGGAATGATGATTCGTCAGTAGAAGCAAGTAGTTGTCCAAGTGCATTTTCCTGCAAAGCCCAAATTGAGGTAGCTCAAGTTGGGAATGGGTCGGACACAAACGAACTGGACAATGCCAACAAATCAGCAATTGGCTCAAGCCACATTTGTCTGCAGAGGCACCACATTTGTCCGTCAGTTACCTATTGTAGAACGAATATAGGAGAAACGGGCATCTTTGAGGCGATTCATAGGCAAGCTCTGACGTTCGGAACCTGACTCGTCCCTTCTAGACGTTGGCTGTGACAAGCTGCCTGACTGAACAATACGTTTATCGCCACAGACTGGTTCTACATGCTCGGCGCCATTTCCGCTGCAAAGCCATCGATGCGAGCGCAACTAGAACGAGGCAACAATGTGAGCAGAGTCCTTCGTTCTTGATGACCCGTCTCCACGAGCTCGTTCTTGCTTTTCCGAATGTTACTGGTAAAAGCCGTTGTGAATCAGAAGAAAGCCTATCGACATGGCTCCAGAATTCCCGGGTAAAGCCGGAAAGGCAGACGGGCCCGCAACTTTTTCGGATTAAAAGTTCCCATCTTCTTTGCGGTCAGAGACTTCAATATTTTGCTGCTTCTGCCTATGCCACTGATTTCACTTTGTAAAATTCATTTGTGCTTGGAGCCCTTGGATAAAGTCCCTTGCGAGACAGCTCCTCTTTCGGGCTGAAACCGAATCTGGCGGACTCTCTTTCGTCTTCAAACGACGTTCGTCTTTCTACCCAGGTCGCCTCACAGCACCGCTGACGCTCACTCGTAGAAATTTTCATATTGTCTGGTCTTACAGTGAACTGGGACTCTCCGTCGCCTTCCCAACAAAATCCGGTTTTGACAACCGCTAACCCGTTTTCCTCTTCCGTTTCGGGAAGAGGTCGCCAACACAGTGGCGACGCAAAGGAGCTGAGATGTAAGCTCGGGCGGTCCGTCCTTATTCCAAACAAAAAGAAAGGTTCGTCAAGCTAAACCAACTTCCGTTCTTTTGGCAGGTTGCGATCGTCGTGGGCGGTGTGAAGGAGGTCTGTCTGCCAACGTACCCCGACAAAGACGTGTTGTACCTGAAGAAGCGGTGGGCTTGCTTGCGATTGCGCTTCACGTTCCTCTCGTCTCTATGCTCGCCTGTGAAGATGGGCCGAAACGCAGTGCTTCTTTTTGGACGGTTGAGTCCGGCGGGGAAGGGCTTTTTGGCTGAGTGTCACTCTGATTTGCATATAACGAAATACATTTCCTCGTTCGGGGAAGAGTCAGTGCCGTCAATCCGACTCACGGCAGCTTTCCTGACTCCGTTTTGGAGATTCGTCAAACATGCGTACGCAGAATAAGAACCAGGGTTTGTCACGGGTTTCTTTACCACTCCGTTCCCGGCTCCAAGAAGATCTGCCGGATTCCTTGCCAGACTGTAGCAACTGATGTCGGTTTGATTTTCATGTAAGTAGGATTCGGATTTCCGACTGCTAACGAGAAACACATATTGGGCTCTTTGCAGATTCGGATTCATTAAGCTGGCCCTGGAAACCAAGGCCGGACTGGTTCCAGTCTACTTCTTCAATGAGAACTCAGTGAGTTAGTAACTTACGGCTATCTTTTCGGAGCCAATATTGACTAAGATGCATCTATCTGGAGACGGCGTGGAAATAGAGAGCTGACCATTGTCCCGTCAGCAGTTTCCACGCACATGGGCTGATATCCGTTGATGAGAGGCAATTGTTGACTTGTCTTGGATCTGGCTTGGTTTATTATTGGTGTTGTCAAGTAGCAAACGGTCGTACTGGTGCTTTTCAATGCCGCCTAGTCAACAAAAGTGTGCGTGGACGACACAGAGCACACGTTGAAACCCCAACTCCGTTGGATCAGTTGTTCCGTTCCCCTGTGAAGAAGCGCTCGCTCCGTGAAGCGCTTCCGCTCGATTTGAAGCGCGTCGGTTCGGTTCGTTTGTTTGTGCTTGAGCGTGAGTCACATATCTGATTGCCCCTGACGATTCGATTCCAAGGAAAAGCACGAGCCTCGAGGTCGCCTTCGAGCTCAACATGGCGAGACCGTTCAATTCAAGCCATTGTTAAGCCTTCCGATTTTGAGAAGCGACACAGCCGAGTGATACAGCCAAGTGCAGAACGGATTCCGGACTTCCCAAACAATGTGAATTGAAAGCAGTCCTTTTTTTATTCTACAGTTGTTCAAGCCCCAGCCGCTGCGGTTCCTCAAGTTCTGGGAGGCCGTGAACCACTACGTCCCCATCGGGGTGCCCCTGTTTCACGGCTTCTGGAACCTGCCCTTCCCGTATCAACGGTACGTCTACGTATACCTACTTGTTGCTTTCTCCTGCAGTTGCAGAAGATAAAGGTCGAGCCGGTGTTGTTGACCTATTTAGAGAGCCTGCGTGCGCTCAAAGGTGAGGTACACTCGAGTCCAGTTGGTATGACACCCAAAAGCCGTTCTTTGTCGTTAGCACTTCATCTGTGCCGTTCCTTTCTGAATGATTTGTTTTATACTTTTCGACCAAAAGCTCCGGCTTGGACGATACCTTGGTATTACCGCCCTTTGGGTAGCGGCTTTGGATCCTTCGTGTAATGTCAATAGACTTGTCAAGAGCACATCCGTTCCGCATGCGTCGGATCCAAACCGTCGACTTTAACAAACTATCAGACCGTTTGGCAACCTCTTTGGCCAGATTGGATGCCGAGGGCTCCGCTTATGGGGTTGCTTTTTGCACATATGCGCCTCCTTCCGCCGATTGCGTACCTTTCAATCCTCTTTCACTGTCGGAAGGGGCCCGGCTATGCGGCTGATTCTTGTGCTTATACGATCTGTTTTCTGCTTTTTCCCTTTCCTGAGTAAATACAAAAGACGAGTCCCACTTATAATGTCAAGTTCAGCAAGCCCACACCGAGTGGTTAACGCTTTTCAAAGCCCTCCTCAGCTTCGTAAGCGGGGGCCGCGTATATGGGCAATCTGCGGTCTCGTGCTCCCCGTGCTTGCTTGTAAAACGCAACTCTGGTCTCGCCCCCGATGCCGACTCTTCCGCGCGCTGCGGTTCAGTGCGTCCATTGAATACTCTGTCGCGTCTGCTGTTTACTGTGTAAGGGTCAGAGAGCCCGGTTGTGGGAATGAGCAGGCATGAGGGAATCGGGAGTCGTCCGAAGCGTCAGGCGTCCGACGTCATCTTTTGTGAGCGACCACCGGGCTCGATAGGGCAGAAGATTGTCGCCGGCCCCCTGCAAGGGGACGTTCTAGATGGCGCAAGCTGCAACCTTTCATAATCACGCGATTGGATTCCCGTGCGCGCCTGGTTTTTAGGCGTCTGGCGCTAACACTGAAGCAGTTTCGTCGTCGTTTCATTTTGGCTCCCGCTCCTCTAGTTGCTCCCAATATATGTACTCCTCTAGTCTAGGTGTCTGTGGGCGCATGCGTCTCTAACTTTCGGCGCAGGTTTAGTGGTAGGCTGCAACTCTTCACTGCTTAAAGACACCATCTCATTCACACGCTGGCCCACTTGACCTCCGCTGAACCGTATATCCGTACATCCGTATACGGAATATATCCGCATGGCACTGTATCGCTATTGCCAGAGGTGCAGTCTTCTGAGGACCTCAGTTCTGTTTGGATTTGCTCGCAAGTTTTTTTCTTCACCGTTCGTTCTTGACACGTGGCACTTTACTCTGCAGGGATCTGCTGATGGCGTTCGGGGAGCCGCTTTTTGCAAAGGACGGCGAGACTGTGGAGGAGTTTCATAGCCGGTACGTCGAAGCGGTCAAGCAGCTGTTCAACAAATACGTAGGAATGTCTGCGGATCCGAAGCACAAACTGGTTCTCGTGTGACATATTCGTCTGTACATCGAGATTTTTGGGGATTCCAAGGAGGTCTTACGTGAAAGCGAGAGGGAAGACAGAACAGTAATTACTGACTAGTGACTTTGTAAGGATCAGAGGAGTGCTGTACGTTTAAGACAGTCACGGGATATGCAATCCTACTGACTGAGGTTTTGGATCTACTCGAGCTCGCGTAAACGATCCGTGCATACTACTCTACCACTCTGAAATGAATCTTCTGCTCACTCCTCTGATCATACGTGAGTGTACGAATTCACATCTTCGTTACAGGGATGAACAAATACAAGCGAGTACTCAGTTTTCTCGAGAATGATTGTTATAGTGACTCGTACCTTGAAAGCATTATAAACAGCACCTCCTCATCGCCCCGACCGGCTTGGACAATCCTACTTGCAATCAAAGTAAATGTGGCCAATGTAGTTATGACATGCAATTTGTCGGACGATACAGGGATGTGTGACATTGAACTCCGTGTCAAGCTGTTTCTTGGAGGGCGGTCTTGCTAACTAAGGTCCGAGCTGCCTGCATGTTGTGTATATACGTCATGTCAGCGGCCTAACATTCAATTCAAGTAAACAATCGTAAATTGCAAGTGATTGCAAATTTAGCAAGTGAAAACGGATTTTTAAGATCATAATATTTATAAAGATTCGAGATCAATTTTGAGTTTTTCCCCTTCAAAAGCGTAATTTGGAAATCTAAGGTTGCCAGTGTATATGAGGTATACTCATGACATATGCTCATGGGTTATATGCAAAATTTCATTCCAGTATGTGCATCCTTCCGTTTAATTTTCTTCACGTAGTTACATATTTCTATCATGATCGAGAGTGGTTAAACACTAATTTTTAGGATGTAAATTGCGTGTACTCAAGCTGTTTCACCCAGTTTATCATGATAAATGTACATCCAGATTTCTAATTCAGGTTTAATCATTTTTTTGCTGAATTTCAAATCCAGATGTAGTTTATGTAATGTCGCGAGGATTTTGTAAGGGTGTGGAAATGATAGATAAGTGGTGGTGAATGCAAGAATGTGAACGGTCAACTTCACTTCATTGCAACAATGAGCAGTAGTTAAAAATTTGTTTGTCTATCTAGCTGTTCTACACAACTGTTCCTGTGCGTGCGGTAACATATCTATGCTATGCAACACTGATATTCACATCAAACAGTTCTTTCGCCCTTTTTCAATTACTGTTTCAGCTGGTAAGTAATTAGAACAAGATAGGCCCGCCCTTCACGCCCTCCACGACCAGGAGAATGACAGCGCCCAACCTGCCACAAAGAGAGAACAATTTGTTGAATGCCTAAGATTGAGGGTGTTTGCAAGAGTGATGGAAGCAGAACTTCCTGCACTTAAACGAGAAAATCCTCAAGAGTGATGAGGACATGCTTCTGCACTAACCGAAGAACCAAGTCAGTGAAATAAATTACAAACTTTCGAAAAGACCAAATCGGTCAACAATTTCAATCTCTTATTTCATGACATACCTCTATGACTAACCATCCCTCCTTTCAACATCTAGCTGCTGATCTTTTCAATTCTTGACAACCCTTCAGATCGTGAGGAGCGCAGAAAGAACCTCCAGATGTGATCAGTAGCAATCTCAAAGGCCAATATTCTCAAAGGCCAATATTTTTTTGCAAATATGTCACATGCAAGCAACTTCAAAGGCCAATTTTTTTTTGCAAACATGTTGCGTGGAAGTAAAAATAGACTTGTTCAGCATGTCCTTACATGGCGAGACGGCCGTTCCACCTCTCAGCGCGGGCGGTGAAGGGGCCGAACTTACGGGCGTCGCTGGACTCGCCCTTGAAAATGGGGACCAGACTAGCCCACACAAACAGCTGGGATACAGCCAGGAACCAGAATGCACCGTTGCCCTTGGTGACCTGTGAGACAAGGCATTGTCAGGTTGTCATTTCGCTGGTAAAGCCGGACGAAATGGTGAAACAGCCTACTTCCGAAGAACCAAGCCCTCTACTTTTCAACTTCTTCACGTTTCTGCCTCTCATGTTCTGCTAACTAAGAATTCTGTGCATTTACTGTTGCCTGTAAAAGAACCCTGTGACATGCCAAAGTACAGAGTGCCAAAGAGTTCCATGCCAAAGTACAGAGTGCCAAAGAGTTCCAATGTCGTTCATACTGGTACAGATCTAGACCAAGTAAGATCCTTTGTGAACCACGCTCATCTGTAATCTGTCCTGGTCGGATTGCAAGTCAGTCTGCATGACATGTCAGCATGCAAGACAAAGCTCACAGAAACAAAACAGCTCCACCCATCCACAGATAGATACTCACCTGCTCATACACGCTCATGCCAGTGGCCAGCTCAGTTCCGAAAGCAGCGGCCATGCCAATCATTGCCAACCGGCAGTTGACCAGCTCGGGAAGGGGTCCATCGAACTTGAAGATGGCAACAGGAGACTTGTCACCAGTCTCGGGACGCCTCTCCTCCTCAGGGCGGAAGAACTCGGCAGCGGGGGTCTCCTCGAACACCAGGAGGCGCTCGTTGTTCTTGGGGTCAACATCCTTCTTGGTGTCGGGCTGTTAGTGGAGCATTGTGGAGTTAGTCGGGTGGGTAAACCACTAGATGCTCTGGCTGCTATGGGATAGGAGGGTAACCAGTAGATGCTGATCAATCATTGTGACTTTCCATACTGCTGGTTTCTTTTGCGGTATTTTGGGGAGAGATCACAGGATCTGCGGAGATTGCTGAAGAATAATATCCGTGCAGCACCAGACTTAACACAACGAACAACCTAAAGAGTCTACATGCATCTCCACTAATTGCCTGTCCAGAGAACCATCCATCTTGGGATTGCATCTGATCTACTTTCCGCTTTCCCATGGGTCTTACAGCATCATCTTCACAGCATAGGCTTGCTTCAGCACGAATACAGCGTCCAATATAATGTTTGAGGAGATAAATTTGTGGACAGATCTAAATAGGGGGCACATTCAACAAAAACCGGCACAGCTTGACAACTGAGCTCAGCCAATTGCTGAATCCTGGTCTGCAGTGATTGGTAAAACAATGACAGCTCAGCTCCTCACCAGGGGGGTGTCTGCCTTGTTGGCCATCATCCTGACGCCAGCCCTCCTGGAGCTCCTGACGGGAAGAGCGGGCAGAGCATTGCCAACAAAGGTGCTGCGCCCAGAGGTGGAGGCAATCGTGCTGCTCCTAAAAGCAGCGGAGGACAGGGCTGAGCTAGTCATCATAGCAGCAGAGGCCATTTCTGCGACTTGAGCTTAGTCACAGGTTACTTGCGTAAGAAGTATGGGATGAATTGAACAGGCAGTGGGGAGAAATTTGCGAAGGAGTTGCTCAATCGGTTGATTGTAGAATGCGAGGAATGAGAATGTGGAATGGAACATGTATGAGAATCGAGATCGCTGAAGTGCGAGACTTTGGATCAATGGCAGACCAGAGTAGTCCTGCAGTCAGTGACAAGTCTGTATTCTGGACTGGAGCTCAAGCGCTCCGATCATGGGGCAGCATGGTGCAAGGTGTCGCATTTGGAGCGATGTGCATGGTGAACTTTTCCGCTCCGTCAAAAAGTGCAGCTCGATCTGGCGGATCGACAACCACTGAAGCTGCCACATCGACATTCAGAAGAAAGCACAGGCGGATCTGCCATGGTGCTCTCCTTTGGCAGGGCCGCACAGCTCATCGTGAAACGGGCAGGTAGAACTTTGCATGAAATGCAGCTGTGGGAGCGCAGACAGCTGTGCTCTCAAAGACGCTCGACGTAGCCGCCAAAAAGAGTCGACGTGGGAGCTCTGCTGAGAAGAGGCTGCCCTGCTCGGAGGCATGATGGAGCGCTCTCAGGACTGGTGCGCAGCTGTACTGCGCTGCCGACGCGTGGCGTTCACGTGTGTCACGTGAACCATGTGTCTACCACGGGGTAAGTGAATCTTCCTGCAAGACAGGCGATTAAACGAACGGCTGAGATGCACCGGAAGTGGCGCGAAGCTCCCGCCGTATCATGCAAAATTTTGAAGCATGAAGCCGGCCAGGCTCCAGCCCTGTGGAGCTGAACTCAGGAGCATCAGATGATCAATCTCCTCTCTGGTAGACAGTTTTGAAGAGAAGACTTGCGATCTATGAGGAAGTGGAACAGCAGACGACGACCTATGCAGCTTTGGTAGATTACGATGGTGGCTGAAGCGTTTAGGGAACAGATTAGAACCAGACACAGGGCTGTGCTACCAACGATGCAGTTTTAGTGCGTCCGTTCATTGCATTGCACAGCAAACTGCTCGCCTCTTTGGCTCCGCTGCATTGCATCAGAGGGTTTTGGATTATCTCCAGGGAAGTAGCTGCCTGATAGGGTGGTGGCATCATGGATGCATTGCATAGGGTTTTGATGGCGAGGGAGGTCTTGGCACGGAGAGGTAGGTGAACACTTGAACCTGCCCCTGTGTTCTTATGTTGCTTTCAGTTGCAGTGCCAAGGAATGCTTGACCTACAATTATTGGCTGCTCCGGAAAAGAAAAGCTGAAAAGAAGTCCAGGAGACGAGAGACAGCTGGGAGAGCAGAAACAGGAAACAGCAAGCCTGATCATGCGTTATGCAGTAGGCAGGCTGCAGGGGGTTCCCCCGAGAAGTTGCTTGCTTTGCTGCTTTCCGTTGACCCAAGATACTGGACCTCACATGTAAAGACCGAGGCTTACATTGTGCAGAACTGTCCTGCTATTCAGAGACCCTCAAGTCGAGCTGGAATGCTGAAAATGAAAACAAACCCACTGAGAAGGCCCAATCGGTAGTCCTCAAGATGTTATGAGATGCACTATGCTGAATTGGGGGCGTGGTAAGTGTGGAAAAACTTTGGTCCATTACAATGGCTGGCTTTGAGCGGTGTCTTGCTCTGCTGCAGTTTCTGTACGGCCATTTGTTGGAGACTTTTCATCATCCTGGGATGGGCGCAGTGGAGCTGGGGTGCACGTCTTCTCAGCGGCGGGCCTTCCTACTGTTGAGGAGCAACTTCCCTTCACGGTCACTTTTGCCAAGGTAATGGACCTTCGATTGACGCCGAGGATGACGGATAGAAGTACTGTGCTTTGGTCATCTAGAATTGCTGGCTTTCGGTTCTGCGAGCAATCACGGAGATAGTTGAACCTAGCAGGCTCCCCAGACAGCAGTTGCGCATCTCAGTACCTGACTAACCGCCTAACCTGAAGCATGTGGCTTTCTCAAGCATTGTCACCCTCCTGATCAGTGGCGGTTACCCTTTTCCTCAAACCCTTGTGGCTCTCCATGTCCAAGATTTTTCACGTTGGCTCCTCGTACATCTAATCCTGCCATTGTCAAACCTCTGCTTTGGAGGCCCGATACTGCGGTGTAGCTGCACGGGAACTCTGCAACATATGTTTGATGCACCCACTTTGTCCTACAGGAGCGGTGTGGGGGCGATTTAGTGGCTGCTGCTGGAGAAGGGGGCTGCGTCCAGCTTTTTGACACCTCAAAATCGCCCCCCGAATACCCTGACATACACGGCCCAGGTGCACTGCCAGCCTTTCTCAACTGCCTGCCCTGTGTTTCCAATTCCGGCGGAACTGACCGCTACTATGCCTGCTCGGTCTTTCATACCTTTGCTAGGTGATTGTGGCACTTTGAAAGTGGTGGCAGGGAAGAATCGGTCAAGCCCCATGCTGAAGAAATTGAGGAAGTCTTTGGCAGATTTCTTTTGAGTTTCTGATGTAGCAGGTGCTGCTTCTCAACACTCGCCAACATCTTGTGCGTCAGGCCTCGGTTGAGTGATCCTTAGGCAATATCTTGCGTAGATTGGGTTGCAGTGGGCTCTGTGAGTCACGCATACCCTTTGGGACGACGACAAAGTGACCTGATTTGGGTGATTCTTATCACATCAGAGTGTAGGGCCCCCAATCTTTGCAGACCTACCAGATAGCACCCAGGCTCTGATGGGAGAGAACTGCCGGTGGCTAATCTCAAAGCAAGCGAGTCTGAGCAGGGGCATAGCCAGAGGCCTGAATGTGGTACTCAGTTGCAGGAGGCTAGGGTTGTGTCAGACATTCCAACCTCTGGCCCCAAGCAGCAACATCGGAGCCAATATAATGTTTGGAAGAGTTGTTTGATACGTTTCGCCCTTGCTTCGCAGGAACTGCGATTGACACCTGGCAAGCGCACAGCAACTCCATCTTCGACATTGCGTGGCTCCAGGTAAGCTTGAGGTGTCTCGCGTCAGCGCAATCTGCTCCAGATGGGGCTTGGGATACATTCTCCAACTTTGGCAATTGAGCCACACGCTCGGAGCACCCGCGTCTCTCCGGCTTAGAGAAATGTGCTTAAAACAACTTTATCTTGATTTAGTGGCATCCAAACATTCCGCGCTGATTAGCCCGGGCATTAGAAGGATTTCCAACTAATGCAACGAGGACTTATGTGTCAGATGAATGAGCACACGATGCCCACCAAATCGAAGGAAAGGTTGTGCTTACGGTTCGGAGAGTCTCTGAGTCGCGAAGTTGCCGCTGAATCACGAGAGAAGAGTCAAACAGCCCTCTGTATTTCTGTGTTGCAGAATGACACGCATCTGCTGACAGGCTCTGGGGACCAAGTGGTAAGCTCTCTCACTTTCTAAGTAACTCTTTTGCTCTGGTTCGAAAACCTGTGGCCCTGAAAGATCAGTTGATGGGAGCCAATGAAGCTTGCTTGAAGAGGTAATTTGGCATAGTCTGCTGTTTGCAAGTGATCGTCAATATTGGCCGCATGAAGTCTGACGTTCTTTCACGGGTTGCCGAGGGCCCAATTCCCTTGCGACACTAGCGAAACAATGATAGCGCGCCATTCACCCCATAAGTTTTGGGAGCGACTCCCATAAGTCGCTTCTTGGTGACTTCGTTGCCCTCTTTCGTGGCTCTGCTTTGGTGAACACTGATCTTGCGCCATGACGTCCTCTTCAAGCAGCCCCCTTGGGAAGTCACTCGTATTGGACTGTTCGCTTTGTGGGGCCTGAGCTTTGAGGTTTAACGAAACGAGCAATCCAAAGCTGCAAAGGCCCCTCTGTGCTAGAACCTCGGTTTCTCGCCGCTCTAGATCCGGCTGTGGAACCTGGAGGCCCAGCGGTGCGTCCAGGAGCTGCGGGGGCACCAGGGCAGCATCAAGTCGGTGTGCGTCCAAGCCACACAGAACAGTGAGTCCGCCGCCGAGCCGCGCTTGTCAGAAGGTAGTCATCATTGTAAGCCGCTGCTATGCTCCTTGGTCTGCTGAAACGAACATACTTCACTTTACAAAGCCCGTACCGAAGCATGGGGCTTGCTTGAGTACACAGTTCAGTGGAACTGACGAAAGACACCCTCATGACGATGCCACTTCGATTGCTGCTGCAACCGTTGTCTTATGCAACTGTCAAAAAGTCCGTTCAGACAGTACAGGCTCGAAGAAAAGACGAGCCCATTAGCGGCTCTTCAGGATATTTCTTAGGTCTGAAAAAGTACCAGGACTGAAGCGTAGTACCTAGGTTTCAGTGCGTACAACGAGCCCGCTTCTCTTTCAAAGGCGTCCCTCCGTGTCCTGGCTGCTTTCACAGCGGGAGTGTCCTTTCCTTTCCGTTCACATCTGAATTGTGCTTTCCCGAGGTGCCTTGTAGTCGGGGTGTTGCGAGTTGAAAACAGCTCTGCTTCTGAAGTTGGCAGAGTCCCCGGCGTTCCATCTCCTCTCCTCTCTGCCCCTTGAGCGCTCTCTTTTCACCACCTTTCGTAATCCATCCTGTTGGGAGTCGTGCCCGCAGAGCTTACCTGGACCGGCTTCTACCTTCTCTGATTTACGATCTGACGTCAAAGGTCAATCTCCTGCTCGCAACGTCACCTCAAACCCTTCTCCAGCGTGCGTATTGCCACGGTTACCGTGCTTTCGCTTCACCTGCGTCCTTCGTTTTTTGATGACGGTCAAGCATCGCTAGCACGTAAATGTGAAACCCTTCAATGAGTGATTGCTATTCGAGCTCTTGCCCAAACACATATATCAATGTATTAGCTCTTCTTAAAGACTCTATGAATTTGTAAATTATCGAGCGCCTGTTGCAGATTGCTTGGCTTCGGGCGGCCGCGACGGGGCCATCATGCTGTGGGACCTCCGGACGGCCGTCCGCGCGACGAGACCGTCCGGCAGAGTGTACAGCAGGTGAGCCAATTGACTCCTTGATATTCTATCGTTGACATCCTATCTTTGATAGTCTATCTTTGATATCCTATCTTTGGTTGTCTATCTTTAATGAAGAAGTAGAGTCCAGCAGGTGAGCCATTTGACGCCTTCACCACTACGACTTTCAAAACCTATCTTTGATGAAGAGGTTTTCTGACTTCAGTACTCACCCGGAGATTTGACCGACCATATTAGGCACTGGATTCTTTTATCTTACAGGAAAGCGTGCTTGAGTTCGACCAGCTCTTATCAACGATTCTGACTGAGGTATGCCTAAGAGATAGTTGTTGGCTTACGAACAGCCCGAGTTTCTGAGCGATTCGTCGAGGAGCATGTGAGAGAAGTGTGCCAGCAGAGGTGGAATCTTTTGTGCAAACTCCTTCCTCAGTGTCCATCAGATTAGCGTCCGCATCAAGACACGAGAACGAACCAATTCAACGAGTGGAAGGATTATGATCTACCTTGCTTCCTTCTTCATTCCTGCTTCGTTTCTCCCCTCCTTTTCTGTTCCTTCCATGCTCTTTTCACACCATCGGTCCTGAATAGTTTTTAACAGATGGAGGGGTAAGAAGTAGTGGCAGGAACATATTGCGCAGGCCTTCTTCGTGAGACCTCATCTGACAACACGTCGCTCTTAAGGTGTGATCCGGTCGCGACCATCAAAAATGCGCACCCGTCTCCACTGGTCGCCCCTCGGCGGCGCAGCTCCAAGGACGCGGCCGCGGGGGTGACCTCCGTTTTGTACCTCAAGGATGGCACCATCATTGCCAGCTCGGGTCATGCTGACGGGTGAGACCGGCGTGGTGTTAAATAAGGCTTCAAAGGATGCATATCCGACTGGTGTGCGAAATGCTGCTCACTTGCAAAATCTTGGGCGGGCACTGGTCGTCCTTTGTCGTTGCTCGAGTGCCTGAGAAGAGACTGTACTTGATTGAAACAGCATATGCTGAGATCTTGGATTCTTGACCACCGTTGCTTTAAATCCCTATCCCTCACCTTAACCACGCCGTTTCTGCGCCCTCTTGCGCACCAAGCACTTTTCTTTTTAAGCGCCGTTTTCGGATGGTTGAAACGAACGCCCTTCATTCTGGCTGACTGCCCTGCTGACGTTATGCTGATGCGCCCCGCTGACGTGTGCCCTCAGAGTGATCAAGTACTGGGACACCAGGAAGCTCCACGCGCCGCTCGTACAAACGCCGCAGCTGACGAGCGCAGAGTCGCCAGAGGCTCCGGTGAGGACCCTTCCCCTCTTTTATGTACTTAGCGCTTTGGTTATATGCCGCCTTCTTTTCGGTGCTTCTTCTGTCCTTTCTTCATTCTTTGTACATCCGGGCCTTAAAAGGCCCATCGTCAGGATCTGATCGCGTTGCCTCGATACTTTAAAAGGCTCGACGAATAACGAATAACGTTAATAATGTTCAGAGGCAAGAGACTTAGCTTTGTGGTCATGAAGCGACGCCTTTCCAAGAAGAAGCACTTTCGCGACCATTATGCAGTCAAGACTCTTATCGAAGCTAAGCGGGCATGTCGCAACTCATGTTTTCGGCGCCTCTGTCGCTCATTTTCCGATACTCCAAGCTGGGTCCTCCCTTACTCGCGGGGTTTGGTCTTTCTGTGATCTGATTTTGACTCGACTTGTCTGTCCTTGGGCTCCTGGCCGCCAAAAACGAACACTCCAAACATTGTCACAAACTGCGGAAAACGAGGTCATCATCCGCAACCGCGCTTGGGCTCTGACATCTGAAGCACTCAATGCAGTAGATGCTCACGTTCCCGCCCAAGAGTAGGAAGCGCGCCGAAACACGTCTCTAAGCCATTCAGACGCGCTTCTGGTTCCAATGACGAAAGGATTGACGTCACCATTTCTCTCGGCTGCAGGCGCGCATCCATGGCATCGTCTGCTTGGCCCAGGACTCCACGGGCGGCCGCTTGATCGCCTCCAGCCGGAACAACCAGTAAGTCCTTTTCTCCTTGAACCACGTTGACTTCTCGATCATTCTCAATGCCTTGAAATTTTACCAAAATAAGAACTCTGCTGCTCTTCTGGCGTACGCACAGACGCATCTTGACGAAGCACCCTGCTGCCGCTATGTGTAAGAGGCAGGTTCCCGGGTCGGAGGCCTTGGCACGTCAGGTTGCAATTGTAAAAAGTATCTCGATCATGACGCACCCGACCTTGGGGCTACGAGTGCCGTCAACCGGAGAGTGTTGCATTTTCAAGGACTGATAAAAGAATCGCGTCTGAAGGCCGCGTTTGACTTGGAAGGGCACGAAGGGATGACAAAGCAGCGTATAAGCTGGTTTCAAAGACCCCATCCTCAGAAAGGCGCAAAGCAAACGCCGGACGTTAGTTCCGAAGGGTCACTAACCCGCTTTACTTCCCCCCCTCGCAGCATTTACATGTACGACGCGCTCAATCCAGAGCGCGGGCCCTTCCATAGCTTCACAGGGCACCAGAGCCAGTCCTTCTACACCAAGGTACGTACCACGAGGCTTGAGAGCAACTCAAAGCTTATGCTTATAGAGATCCGCGATTGTTTGGGAATTTCTGATCATTTGTCAGTGCAGATTCTGCTGTCTTACTCAAAAACTTCTGCGCGCATGAGATCGCGTCAGATTCTTGATCGACAGTCGCTTTCGGTTCTCGCTGATCCTTCTTGGGCTGTCTGAAGCATCTTGGTTTTTTGGCGGGCTATACTAGTCGTCAAAAGTTCACCTGGCAAGGTCGCCTACCGACTGGACATATAGTCTCCTGCAACAATTCTTTCGAGAGCAGCGCATTTGGCACAAAATCGTAGAGGGGTGAGGAAATGACGATATGATCTCCGTTTTGTGTAATGAGCATCCTGTTCGGCTCTTGAGCTCTTATGTGATATCCCTAGACCACCCGTTGTCTGAAGGAGCTCACTCTGATGGTGCCACGTGTTGTTCGTGCAGGCCACGTTCAGCCCGGATGACAGCCACATCCTGAGCGGGTCCACAGACAACCACGTGTACATATGGGAGGTGAGCTTGAGCATTGGATTCAAATGTGCCTTTGACGCGTTTGGACTTGTTGCGGACAGCAGCTATAAACAGTCGGACAGCTTCGAATGCCATTGGACAGGTTTCGACTTCTGCCGGACAGCTTGGGTCGTACTTGAAACACTTCAGAACATGTCTCGCACAAGGTCGGACGTCCTTGACTAGCTTCGGGTACTTTCGGACAAGTCTCGATATCTTCCGGACGGCTTTGTTCATACTCTGAACCGCTTTCGACACGTCTCGGATAGGGTCGGACGTCCATGAATAGCTTCGGATACTATCGGACAGACTTAGAAGCCGACAGCTTCGGACACTTTCGAACATTTTGAAACGTTCTGGACGTGTTGAAGAGCTCTGGGCAATTTTTGAGAAGCTTTAGATATCTCCGAACAGTTTGGATTCTTTCTGATGGCTTCTTCTTCGGACGATTTGCACTAAGTGTCACATTGCCGCCGATCCCCCAGCTTGACCAGAAGCCTTGACAGTCTCAGCTTTGCTGGCAATCCTTGGATATCTTGATGACTAAGGGGCATAAAGCCCCAGTGATAGTTTTCCCAACCGACCACTGATTTCAATTCAAAGACCCCGTTACGGAAGTTATCAGCAGGCGTAGAGAGTCGGTTCGCTGGCCTTCATCCTGAGGCTGTCGATGTTGCAAGGCACTAAAAGAGTTGTTGCTCTGCCGTCACGTACATATTCGGACGCCCGGCGGACCGTTCGCTTAACATCTAGCTTGTCGCGAAGGTAAATGTTTCATCAAATTCCTGTACCCTGCTGCCGGCTCATTATGAATGTTTTCGGACGCCTCAACCCGCTTCTTTGCAGGCGGACCGTCCGCAGAGCGGTCCGTTTGTGCTGGAGGGCCACGTGGGCGAGGTGACCGGAGTAGACTGGTGCAAGACGGACGTAACCAAAGTAGCCACGTGCTCCGACGACTGCACGGTGAGGAGCTGGCACTTTTTTGTGTTTTCTAGAAAGTTGGACTTGAGCAGAGTTGGCGGGCTGCGGACGATCGCTTCATCTTAGTCCGGGCGAGAAGTCGGATGCTTTGAAGGAAGAGATGTCCTATGTTAACGACAACAGGACCTTTACACGAGTTTGCTGGAGGAGTTTGCTAGAAGGCACTTTTTGAAGATGGATTCTCTCCGTACTTGAAAGGGTGAAGGGCAGCTTGTAGGAGCATAGTACGGTGGCGTTGAGTTTGCGGGAGTTAAGTTGGCATCCGCTGGCTTTGTACCCGGCAAGGGAGAGATCTCAAGTTTTAGCAGTGTCGCAACGGTGAAGGTCCTCTTTGTCCACTGTAGTCTAGCTGCCAAAAAGGACCGATCAGGTGTTCTACTTGATCACGATGTGTCGATGCGAACGGTCTGTTAGACGCACACCGAGTCTAACCGCTGAATAGAGCCTCGACTCATCGAAGCTAATACCGCTCTTCCGGAAATTGTCCATGTACTTAAGAATCTGCATGCCATAAAAGGCCAAAACATTTTGATGAACCCGTCGTTCTGAATCGTCACTTTACCACGTCTTTCAAAACCCTCTTCCAGGTGCGGGTATGGACCATCAAGCGCTCCCGTGAAGGTCGCGACGGCCGCGCCAACGCGGCCGCGATGCGCAAGCGGATCTACTCGGCGCGGCCAAACCCTGCTCCTGCCCCGGCCTCGGATCTCGGTCCCGAAACGCCTACATCAGCAACTTCGCGCGCGCGCGCTTCCAAGGAAGCAGCCGCTGACGTGGCAGCTGCTTGTGCGTGTGTGGATGTCGGGGGAAAGGATCTGCCCGGGGCGCCTGGGGAGAGGGAACCGGGGGCTGTTTTGGAGGTGGAGAATGCGACCGGTACGAGTGAGCGGTTGAAACCGGAGGCTGCTTTGAAGGCGGAAAATGCGACCGGTACGAGTGGGCGGTTGGAACCGGAGGCTGTTCTTGAACCGGAAAAAGCGACCGGGACGAGCGGACAATTGAAAGAAGGGGGTGTAGGGTCCGGTGGGGAGATGGACCGGGGGTTATCTGCCGGGGGTTCTGGAAGAGGCGAAAACCTAGGGGCCGAATCGGTGGACGTTTATGGGGGTAAGAAATGTGAGCTGCGCTTGGGTGGTCCGATCGATAACCGGGCACTCAGGCCGGTGCAAATATACGGGAGCGAAAGCAAAGTGGAAGCTTTGCAGAGGAAATGTACGGCACAAAGAGCGGAGGCAACGGAAACGGAAGCCCTTCAAGCGACGCCGCACAAGGAGGGGACTCGCGTTCTCAGCGCGGGGGGGAGTCTGAACCCCAGCCGATCTCCATCGACGCCTGTGAATGTGGAAGGGTTTGAAGAGGGACGGCTCGGATTGAATCCCGGTCCATCTCCGCAGTTCGCATTCTGGAACTTGGGGTCTCGGGTGAGGGCACCCCAAGAGACGGTGGTTAGGTCCAGTGACGGGACTCATGCTTCCGAACCTGGTCTACAGAGCCCGTGTTTGAGGTTAGATGCTAGTAATGCAAAGGTCAGCGAGAAAGCGGTTAGCCCGTTGAGAAAGGAAGGGCCGGGGCGTTCCGTACACCGCCTGCCGCTGAGTCCGACCCGGGTGAACGTCCAGGTTAGGGGCACGCCTAAAAGGTCCCCGGGGATCCCCCTCGGCGAACTGCTAGATCAGCAAGAAAACGTCAGCCCTCTTGGCCTGAAAAATGCAGTGACGGCGACCGTCAAGGACAAGGACGCACTCGAAAGTCCGTCGTCTGTGTTAATGTCACCTCTCGAGTCGAGTAGGAAGAGGCAAAGGACGATTATTGACTATTTCAAGAATCCTTGAGTAGGACACAGCTAAGCTCGCTCAACGTGTCCCCCTGCCAAGAAACTCAGAATTGTGTTTGCGCTGGCCAGTCAAGTCCTCAGGCAGAGTACCTTCAAAGAACGCGGCAATGCGGTGCTTGCCACGTCGCCGGGCCTTCTGCTGCATATGAGGTGAACCGGCTCTGCCCGCTTTTGTGAGCCCTGAAGAGAAGCCGTCAACCGCAGAAAAAGTTTCAGCAACTGCCAATGATGCCCTCAATGCGACCTGGCAATTCCTGCGATAACATCGGCAGATCGATTTACCCAGGTACGGTCCCTTCCACTTCGTTAATCTGCAGCGCACATGCAAGGCATGCATCAACCCAATCAATGATCCGTGCAAATTTTGGATGGCCTGCATGCTTCAATGTCTCTCTACAATTAAGAGCCCAAATGAAAGACGATCATACGTACATGTGACGGAGTGCAAGTCGATCGTTTCTTCTGACGGTGCGCATTGAATAATAGAGCCGACCAAGTATGAAGTCAACAAATCCGACTGTTTGCATATGCATATGCATTAAAGTGAACCTCCATGGATTGAATGATCGAAGAACTTTCGGGTTCACTCTGATGTCGAGTGGACATTCTTTGATTGCTGGATCTCTATGCTGGATTCTGGCGGTGGCCGCCATCATTGCCGATATGACGGGTCGCTCAAGAGAACTAGTATGGGTCCAATCTAGCTAGTCCTTTGAATTTGGCAGGCCGGTCTTTGAAAGGCCGAGGCGCATTCCGGCTACGTTTGCGAACTTATAAGCGAATTTTCCGGCCTGCCCAAAGACGGAGTTCGAAAGTCGCTGCGCGACTCGACGTCGCTCTTATCACCGGCTACAGCGATACAGCCCCTCTCGTTCTCTCCACGAATCATTGCTTCACACTCTCTTAGTAGCAGCCATTCACGTTATCAAACGCCGTGCCACAGTTGGGCAGGCAGATTCCGGTGAACTTCCGAGCGGTGATGGTCTGTGGGGTCGGGGCTCCGCCGCAGCCGGCCGCGCAGTTGTACCCGGGGAAGCAGTCAGCGTCCATGTTGCAGCCCTGGGTGCATGCATCACACTGCACGTTGGCCTGGCAGACGGTCGGGGTCACGAGGGTGCCCCCGGTGTAAGCCCCACATGCGCAGTTGGTCGAGTTACCGGGGCCGAAGGGAGTCGAAATGGCGGAACAGTTAATAAATTTCTCCCCAGCGAAGACCATGTTGACACAGGCTGTCAGATTGCCAATCTGTGGCGGACCTGCGTCGAATATAATCCAAGTATTTGCGTCAGGTCAAGCGAGGAGCAGGATAGAACGCGTAAAGAAACTGTCTTGAAGCTACGCAAGGATTTCAGATACATTTTGATACAAGCCTTTTCTCTTCGAGACGACGATCAAGCTGCTTGATGTCTACTTTCTCGTCAGCTTTACATGCGTAAAGGTAGAAATGATCCGAAAGAAGAAGCAGGAACCCTTCTTTCGAAATCAAATGGCGCGAACCAATTACCTATCTACACCTCTCTATATCGGCTCAGTGATTCGGAAAGAGAAGCGACTCCTCATTCCGCAAGATTTGTTGCCGACCCACTTAGGTGGCACCTACTTCGGCTTTTGGCTCCTTTCATGCTGACGGCCGTAGTTCCTTGCCAGAGTCATGCAACCGCGCCAAACGCTGAGCATTTTGTGCAACTGCAGGCTGACCAAGCTTAGTAAGCACCTTTCTGTATACATGTACGTAGAGGCCTACATCATTTTTGAGCCTGATGCTACGACGTAAGGTCAACTGCGAAGCGGGTCTAAAGCGTGGCTCACTTGTTGGGCTGGGAATCGGCGTCTTTGAGGGCACGGGAATGCTGTACTCTGCACACGTTTCGAAGTGACGTAACCGTGAGCAAAAACGAAGCGGGCGGCGGCGATCAAAGCAATGCACGAGACACGAACTCGAGATCATGAGAGACTATTGACAGCCCTCTTCTTCTTCTTTGCAGGACTGGCCCTCGATTGCAAGAATCGGTCCTTGATCTTTTTTTTCAAAGGAGTGGTTCTGCTTTACTACAGACCACTGGTTCCGAGGTGGCGCTGAGTGGCAACCTTGGGATTTTCGACCTCCGGATCATTGGACATAAAGAACGGTCGCCGATAAGCAAGCATTGCTGACTATTGTTGAGTTTCTAGCTTTCCCGTCCGGCTGGGAGATCAGCGCACGCTGAAGTTACTTGAAAAGGTCGTCTGTGCCACTTAACAGGTTCAGCGGAGCAACGCGTTTCGTTCTACGTGCACTTCGAGGCCGGGTCGAATTCAAGAAACTTATCACAAATAAAGAACAACTACCGCTGCGTAATCGGATGCGAAGTCCCTTGAAAACCGCCTTTCTCAGATAAGGCAAGCTCCAAATAACGACGCCGTTGGGAGCGTTGTATTATAATGTATGTCAGCAACATGAGAGGATCCAAATCAGCAGCGTGAAAAAACGTAAGCCGTTGAATCTCTACTTCCCCGTTTGAAAAGACGATGCATTCACATAGCTTGAAGTTTCTTACCCAGGTAGCTGGTACCCAAATACGGGTGCACTCACCCGGACAGCCGGTATAGAAGTATTCGATTGGTTCAGAACCTATTAGAAGGCGGTCTTGCCGGTAGTTACAGGTTCCCTGAAACGCTCCCGCTCGATTGAAGTAGGAGCACCGAAAGACGTTGAGGAGCTGGAAGTCCAATGATATGTTGCGACGACGAGCAAACCCAATCAATGCATCAAATGACGCATTGGCAGGGCATGAATTGGGATCAGGTGTGCTTCCTGCAACGAAGAGGGACGGCAAAGCCAGGTTTGGCTAAATGGCCGATTGGCAACTACTCAGCACACAGAAGGGGGCCGAGGGCGGAAGTGCGGAACATTAGGGTGCGAATAGGTGCGAAACGACTCGTATTCTTTGCGTTAGTCTTCTCAGTCAAGGTGCTGCATGGCCTCTTTGAATTGCATGTATGCCAATTCCACCTGGCTCTGAAAAATTTGAGGAATTGCTACGTAACGATCCAGCAAGACCTTTGACGCCTGTTTTGCATTGAAGTCGCATCATAATGCTGATGCACAATCCAGAACTAAGAGTTCAATCCAGATCGGAGCTTGAAACAGTCCTACAGTCCGTTTTGAACAATCTCCAAAGTGTAACTGGTTTACATTGTGTAGGTTATAAGCTAGGCAAAACTGCGTGCGGTCGGAAAGAAATCACAGGTGCAAACGATAGATCCAAGGCTTGCATCCGGCGCTTTGACCGTTCTTCAAATTGCACTTGAAGCGCCCCGGCGCCTGCATCTATGACACGTACGCTTTGGATCGCAGTAGATGGGATCATTCTATGAAGTTATTTTTATTCAGCGGTAAGTTGACACCAAGTCAAACAACACCTTTCGTATTACCTGGGCAGGAGGTTAGGTTCGCTGTAGCCCCAACTAATTCTGGGGTAACAGCAAGCGAAGAACTCAGGAGGGCACCGGTTGCATTGTAGGTACAAGTCGTGGCCGCTCCAATCGGATTTACGGCCGGGGCGTTTTCGACAATGTACTCACACGCCACTTGTCTTAATGGGTTCAACCTCGAGTCATTGGCAGGGCATATGGCAGCCACTGTACCTGCAGAATTGACCGGATTTTTGAAATTCCTTTATGCAAAGGCCGTTAGCGTTGGGTTTCTAGGAGCCTACGTGGCTGTCACGTTGTCTTTGATGCGGAAGAGTGCTTCCGGTCTTGCAGCAATAATCCAGCGCGTGCGAATGAGCGACGGAAACAGCCCCAGTCCGTAGTCTACTACGGGTCGCTAGATTCAGATGCATCTATGTATGCCCTCTTTAACCGGAGAGCACTATCAATCAGATCTGGCAGACGGTTTTGAAGCTAACAAAATGAATGAGAGAACCAGCCTCAATCCCCCGAAGCAGAGTCTTTACTTACCAAGTGTCGGTTCAAGGGTCGGGGTCTGGAGCAGCTTCCGCTGGGGGCCTTCGATATTTCCGCCGCGGAAATCCAACCGGCTCGAAACGGAGTCCTCGCTGGCAAACACCTGGACATACGAGAAAGTCACACGTGAAAAGCCACGTGATGAAAGGGTGGGATATTGCAGACCCCGCAAGACGATGTCACCTACGCTCAGTAAGCGACCAGCCATGCTTGACGTCAGGCCAGCTTCACGCCTTAAAGCACGACGTCCTGTGTAGTCTTCCCCTTTAGACGCTCACGCTCAATCATTCCGGGGTACCTCTGAGCACATAAGAGTGTGAAAAATGTTGGAG